CACACCAGTTGAAAATGACTGTTGTACAGAGTAATTATTAAATAACTAGTATCAATTATTTAGAACAAGTTGATTAACATTGTTGGTAATTTTAGAGATATAAGTTAATGATTAATTAGAATACTAAAATTCCTTAATAATTGTCACATCATAGAAGTGGTCTCTGTATTACTGCAATGCAATTAGAATTTCCAACAGCAGAGCAAGGTACTAGTTGCTAGTACTTGAACTGGCTTGAATGAACTAATAAGGATCACATCAAAGAAGTATTCAAATACCTAATTCAAGTTTTCAGAAACAAGAACTTTTTACAATTGAATAGTTTTCAATTCTTGCATTCAAATACTCTCATCTTTAGTCAGAATCACTTTGGATTAATTTAAGCTTAGAAATAAAATGTTTCTTACATACTGTATGTAATAAAAGTGATTTTACTATAAAAATGAATGTAACTGTGTGACATTTATGTGGTATAGTTTAAAGATTAAGACAAAATTGAAAAGATACTAAAGCTTATTCAAAGTAGTAACCTGCAAAATAGAAAAAATAATTTGCTACTGTGCAATTCTGATTTACACAGGTTTTACTGTGTATAGGAAATAAGTATAAATGGAACAAATATCATGCTAAGTAATTATAGTAAAAAATTAAAATAAATCTATTGAAAATTTTACTCTACCTTTCATTAATTCAAGTTTGTCCTGAGGAATTTGTTTTAACATTTCTTTATTTGACATATTTTCACGACCAATTATAATATTTGATAATGCTTTTACAAAATCATGATCTTTTGGTATTTCAAGTATTGATTTCCATCTTTCTTTAGGAATCCACACAATTCCTCCTAAATATATCTAGAAATATAAGTAATATTATTAATGTTTTTAAATTATATATGTAATGTATATTAAAATATACAATTTATGTATTAAAGATATTACTATATTTTAGATTAATTATGCAAAATTATAACAGTTTATAATAATAAAACAATTTTATTTTAAAATACACTTGTGCTCAAAATTAAAGTAACACACACAACATGGAAAAAATGCAGAAATAAACAGCCTCTATTGCAATGAATCATCCAAATGCCTTCTCTGAAGAATATCTAATAAGCTACTGATGTATCAAGAACAGTTCCTCACTGTTAGAAGACCTGAAGACAATTGTTTGTCAGATATGAATGCTATGTATACAGTGCATTTTGTCACAAGTAAACTGCTATCTTGCCTTATTTGCATAACACTTGCATGTTAGGATGGTATATTGATGATTTACATATGTTATAGGCATTCACATTTCACAGTATTGATTTTACACAGATTTAGTGTTTATTGCTTTAATTTTGGATATTAGTGTAATATGCACACCTGTTATATCTGAGTAACAGACAGATATCAATATTCATTACTTATTACTCAATTACTTGTTAGAAAGTAACAGGTATGGAATATATAGTAGCCAATTGTTATAAATGTTTGTTTACTAAGTAGTTACTATTCGAATCAAGTATCATATTTGAATTTCTTTCAAATACAATTTTATTGAATTTATGCTAGGTTAGAGTATTTCTTTGTTGTTTTTTTTTTTTATTTTGTTTGAATAGACGTTCCTAGTCGGGTTAATAAGGTTTTTATAATATAAATTATTGTAGTTTGTATTCTGAGAAAAGTTTTGTGGGATTGACTTTAATTTTATGGCAATTATATTTCAAGAGTTTTATATTGAGGTTCTTGTTAGGTTAAATGCTGACTTTTTATTAGATGTGAGACTGAAATGGATTGGCCCACCAGTAGTCAAGTGGTCTTCGTTCCCTGAACACTGGGAGTTCAGTTGTGGGTTCATGCCTCACTAGGATGGGCTGGCAACATGGAGTTTTCCTAACCTAAATAATGGCCAGTTTCCCTTAAAAATACCTCCTGGAAGAAATCCTCCTAGGCAGATTGCCCAAGTGTTGCATTGCCATAACTAAACAAACAAAGAAACTGAAATGGATTAGTTCATTTTAATCTATTGTAGAGTTTGTGAGTAACTAATGTTTCAGAGAAACTTTCTTAGTTGAGCTCAGATTTGGATGTTTTGTTATTTTTTTTGTTTCATTTCTTGACTTTATTTATTCTATTTGTTTTTATTTGATTTTGAGTTTGACATATTGGAGGAATTTTCTGGGTTTGGGAATGAATATTTGCTGTTTTTCTATTCTTTAATAGCTATGATAAATTTTTTATCATTGAATTATTGATGGCCAAATAGCCCAGGTAATTAAAGAGGATTCATTTCTGAGGAATTCATTTTTAAAGTCTGGTATGTATCAACAGGAATTTTTCAGATATTAACACAGAAATTTCAGGCTCTTCTCTTAACATTTGGCCACCACCTTGAAAACATGATTGAACATGTAATAATAATGTAAAAAGTGGTGTATAATCTCACTGCTTACATCAAAAAAAGATTAAAAAAAACATTCTCTTGTAATTCCTTAAATCAATAGGTACTTAATCTAATTTATTTTAAATATCCCACTTAACTTGTAAAATAAGTTTCATTTTTATGTGTTTTTGAATTGTCAGTTTTATAATTAAATATATAAATAATGATCACAGAACATATACAAATGTTTAGTCATTGCATATGTTTTGTGATCATTGGTTATATATTGTAAGATGTAATCAACATTTAATCATCACTACTCTTCCTTTGCTATGTTGATTCAATAGTACCAAGTAATGAATACTTTAGAAAAAGAGTATTTGTTACTTTCAGGGCTTAAAGCAGTCATGGCAGTGAAAAAAAGTGAAAAATGAGAGTTCATACTGAAAAAAAGCTATAAAAGCTAATAGTGTTAAAGTGAACTAAAAGAGGTATTATTAAAAAACCACACAAACACACATTTCGTATCAATAACATTGCATATAATATTAGATTGATTTTTAATTGGACTGAAAAAATTAAATATGAAAATAGTCAGGCTGAGTTTATACTCCAGAAAAGTGATCAGTATGACTGCATTAAGCCAGAATGGGCCTGCGTTAAGTTTTCATGTGTTCCATATGGAGTTCCTATCATTATACAGCAAAGGAAATGGAAGAGTAACATAACTACCAGAATATAACATGTCAAACTCCGTATAACATGTCAAATTTCAAATGCCATTTATTTCAAAGTACATTTTTTGATTTCTTGTTTAAAAAATTTGTAATTAAAGATGATTATCTTTTGTTTAAGTCATGCTGCAGTTTCTGCACTTCTCTTGTTTTCTCCTCTTCATAACACTGAATTTTCTTCACACCAGAGTAAGCAATTCACTATAAAGTTTATGTATTAAAGGATCATTGCACTGAAAATGCCCAGTAAACTTTGTGAATAGTTCAGCACTAGATATTCCCAAATAGATTTCAGCTTTGATGGTAGAACACTTCAATGACTTTGGGATTACAGTGGTGCCTCATATAACGTACTTAATCCGTTCCAGGTGAACATCCGTTAAGTGAAAAGTCTGTTATACGAAACGCATTTTCCCATAGAAATACATGTTAAAACATATAATTCATTCTGCAGCACAAAATAACCGTACTGTACCATAAAAAAAATGAAAATGGAGCAGTCACCAATTATGCCAGGTAGTCAGATGTTGTGAGGAGGTGGGGGATCACTTTATTCACACATTCATACAGATACAGACTTTTTACACATTGCAGCAGGTCTCTATTATTTTTTAATAGGAGTCAGATTCAGGAGAGGCTACTGGGGCTTGCAGGGTCAACTCCTCTTGTTCCATCTTTTGTCTTTTGACAGCTGGCTTTTTGAAAAACATGTCCAAAGTAGTCTGGTTTTCTCTCTCCTTCAACACCTGTCAGAAATGACGGGCAAGGGTGTCATTGTAGAGATCATTGATCCTGTTGGCCTCAATTGTGTTTGGATAATGAGTGTCAGAAACTCCTGAACCTCTCCTGATTTGACAAGGAAGTTTCTGTCAACTTTCATTCCTTCTGATGATTTCTTTGCTTTGTTTCAATTGAAATCACCTTTCTGTTTTTTTAGAAGCCATGATTTGCACAACACTTGAATAAATGTAAATTCTCTGAACTGAGGTGATATACGTAATAAACAAGGGAGCAAGCCGAATCCCAACAGGAGCTCTGTACTTCAGATATACTAATAATATATTATAAAAATAGCAGATTGTCATTGGCAATGGCAAAAGAGTGGAAATGTCATTCGCACTTGTTCGCAGAAAGTCCATTGTTCGCCTAACGTAACTGCTGAATGGAAAGTACATTGTTCGCAGCCAGTCCGTTGCTCGAGTCACATAACGGCCAAATAGAAAGTCCGTTGTTCGCAACGTCCGTTATTCAAGGCGTACGTTATACGAGTATCACCACTGTATCTTATATGAAACACTATTCATTAAGCTGGAATTCTTGAGAAATGTGCTTTAGGAAGTACAGTATAATATGCATCCTTCCCATTTTGCTGCAAGTCCATCTTCGTTTTGCTGCAGGACCAAATGTCAGTCATCTAGTTGATGAATACTTCATAAATTTGTTTCATGGCAAATTAAGTTTCTCTTGAATTTCTGTGTATTCATCCCACCTAGAGGTCCACCTATGAAAAAAGCTGTGTGTTGCTATGATGAGATCACTACCATCTATACCCAATTCTTTCAGGCCTTTCAAAAAGGCATTGTGGATTGTATGAATGCTGCAAGTCCCTATGTTGATGAGGCCTTTTTTTGCAATTGCGAATTTCCTCATTTATGAGATGCAATACTTTTTTGTTTATGTTTGATCCATTGCATCCAATCATCAGTAATTTATCAAAATACATCTTCAATTGTCAATATTATTTTTTATTTAATTGTTTCAGCATCTGCATGCCCAATAAAGGAGGTCTGGAGATGCCTGCAAACAACTTCCTGTTGTTCCTCTGACCAGTATCTAATCAGTATTTTCAGTTATTTTCTTTCTTATACATTGCATGTCTCATCATAAGAAATGCTATGAATATGACCATTGTGCATCATCTACCATTTGATCAAAGAAATATGGGGCCAAAGCTTCAGTGATTAAGTATCTCATTTTTTGATGTGACAATGAGAATTCTTTTGGAAGATTGTCTGCACAGTTGGCATTGATTGTCTCCTTTATATCATGACATGATGCAACTGAATAATTGCTGGCTATCATTTTCATAGTCCCTATAAGCTCTGCAATGTAAGCACCATCTTTTGCATTACAAAGTTGAAGCACTGGTTGTTGCAATGATTGGCGTTCTGAACTGGCACCTGAGTCTACAAGATTGCTCACACTAGCAACACTTTCAGCACTAATACTTTGACATTGAGACCTCTGAGGGGCAGTCGTCAGTCTTAACTGCTTGGGACCAAAGGCTTCATTGCATTTATTTATATGTTTCTTGCAGCTTGAATGTTGGAGGATTGCAGTATGGGGGTGTGCTGGTCACTATTTTGCTCCTGAATGCATTTACAAAAATAAATAAATAAATTCCACATGGAAAGTAAAAAAAAGCTAAAAAAGTGAAAAAAGTGAGTCACTTTAAGCCCTGTACTTTGGATCCAACATGGAGTAAGATATAAAAGTAATGAATAGTTACTAATATTAACACATTACTAATAGAAATTTTAATAAATTATGAAACTTGTATTTAACTGTAATCAATAAAATTTTGATTTTAAAATTATCTTTTTAAATACAGGATGTCCATAAAGTCTATGTTAAGTTTTAGAAATTCATTTTTAAAACATTGTGAAACTTACAGATGTAGTTTCCTGCATCAAAAGATAGGCTGACTAAAACTGCATTTGCCTATCAGGACATCTCCACATGTGCACCTTTCATTGCCCATAGCACATCAAGGCAATACTCAATTTTCCATTGAAAGTTCAGCATATCAGGTATTATGCAATGACTTCTTTGATTCATTGCTTCAACGTTTCCACATCTCACACGTAGTGTATACTTTGTCTTTAACATAGCCCTAAAGAAAGAAATCTAGAAATATTACATCAGATGAACCTGGGGCTAATGAATATGACAATCCTGACCTATCCAGCAGATGGGAAATACAGTGTTCAGGAAAGTGTGTATGATTACTCCCCAATGTGGTGGTGCACTGCCCTGCTGGAAAATGCTATTTGTCATTGCAAGTGTGTCAGTGGACATTTCAACAAACATGTGGCAGAAAATTGAGTATTACTTAGATGTACTATGGGTGATGACAGGTGCACATGTGGAGATGTACAGATATACTGACTAAAACTCTATGTCTGCCTGCATCTCTAAGTTTCACACTGTTTTGAAAATAAATTCCTAAAACTCAACAGACCTTATAGACATCATGTACTATACATGTAAGGCAAATTAGATAAATAGATTTTTGAAATTCAATGGCAGTTTTTGTTCTTAAATGATACCATGTAGAACACTTAAAATTATAAAATTATACTATTNATAATTTCCTGCAAATAATATTTGGATTATCTGCATTTTAAAGTCAATTTGATAAGGGGTATGGGTTATCTATCAATTTTAAATTGTAATTACAACCTCACCTAACAGCATTCCCTTTTTCTAAACTTAAGACCCTCTTTTAATAATCACGAAATATCTTTTATGTACCATATATATTCATCTCCATTGTGGTCTTTCTGAAAACTATCAAAAAAATTTATAAGTATGCCTCACTTTTAGTTTTTTTTTTCCTTTTCTATATGTCAATCCAATTTCAAATATCACTAGTCATACAAACTTGTATCTTGAAAGCTGATAAATTCTGTTAACTCCCTTTTATATATACAATATAATGACTCACAAAGAACTATTTAGAAGCCAACTGTTGATTTAGTGTTTGTTCTCTACAGTGAATAAAAGCTAAGTAATCATTTCTCAAATCTGTTGCTGGCTATCAGAGTCTACATACAACTTCAAAATATAAAATCAACAATTATGACATTAATGACAATTATTTTATTTACCACTTATTTATTCTAGCTGTATATAAAAATCATTTTCACTAAGAACAATACTAGCCACATTGTCACACCAAACTTGTCTCATCTGATAACATAAGATTATTATTATAAGAAATGTATGGCCAAGACAATATAAACAAAACATTTACACAACTACCCAAACTGCACAAATCAAAACTGAAACCTAATACATAAGATAGTAAGTTTAAAGAAGCCCATCATGTGGTGAAGAGGGCAGATGGAACAGATAACAAAACAATAATGAGAAAAAAATGCCATGGTGAAAACATCATTCTTGTGCATTTTTCCTTTTTAATATGAAAATAGTATATAGCCTATGTTTATCTGGAAGTAATAAGCTATCCAATAGTGAAATTTTAAAAATAGGTTTGGTAGATTCTGAAATTACCTCTAGCAAATAAATAAATAAATATATATATATATATATAACTGATATAGATTTAGTATAGATATAAATAGTCAAGTGATAGTATAATATAATATAGCATAATAAATAAGATAGTAAAGCAAAGTACAGATATAAATTTGACTATTTCCACAGCTGAAAAAAAAAAAATTTATTTGCAAACTGATAAAGATCATATTAATGTTTAACAATCTGAAAAAATGGTTTTAAGCATTTACACTAGAATAAATCTATTTTCTTAAACAGGAATAAATTCTTAAATAATCATATTGAATTAGACTACATAAAGTTTTATTAAGTCAATTAAAAATTATATTAATATGCAATAATCTATGTCTTTAAAATAAAATTGACTCATTAAAATAAACTAAACCAACTATTTCAAAATTATTCATTAAAAATATTCATTTATTATACTCATGTTTTACCTTTTGGAGTAAACTCACAATCTGCTGACATTTTTGATCTGAAAACAAAAACAATTAGTTTCAATATCATTTTGTTCAAATAAACAACAGATTATTATTAAAATGATACTAGCTGTTACCTGCGGCTTCGCTCGCACAAATTTTGCAAGCAAACCCTATTTACATTCAATATTGCAACAACCATAGTAATTGTTATTTAACACCTACTGCTGAGAATGATGAGAATTGCTGAGAATCAAACAAACTGTTTTTAATTTGATAAATTTTCTGGAACATTTACAATCGTTCTATAATCGAACCAATATGGAAAAAGAAATTTGAATTTAAAACGGTTTGAACATTTGGTTAAAAAATCGAAATATATAAAAAATATTTATAACAATGTCTGAAATGTTATCAATTTAATACCCCTAAGTACTCAATGAAGACTAAACGTAATTAAAAACAAAAAAATCGCATATGCAATTTTTTTTGTTTTTAATTACAACAAGAAAAATAGTACAGTAGAAGCCATTCTTCAGGTTAAGACTTAATGCTCTCCCTCTCCCTTCCTGCAGGGGAATTTTGAAAAATCCCTTCTTAGTGTGCCTTTTTACGACGTACCCTAACTGTGTACCAAATTTTACTTCTAGGTTCTGGAACTCTAGAAAAAACTGGAACATTCTCATTGAAGCATCAGACATTTTCAAAGTCAACCAATTTCAAACCCCATATCTCCCACACCCTTATAGCTATCAAGATGCAACCACCATAGTGCACGATGGGAGACTTGGGGCTACTACCACACACAAACACCATTCATGTGCGATGTGTAGTTTTGGCTGTAGAGTGACATACAGGCACAAACATGTCCATTTTTATAAATAGTTTTTCTTATTAAGCCTTGACAGTTCCAGTTTGTTATTTTTAATTGAACATTTCCTTGATTTCCATTCTATTTATTTCATTATTTACTTTTGTTTTTAATGGGGTCTCTGATTTATTGAGTTTTCTTGTGGGGTATATTCTAAAAACTCATCAGCATATACTAATTGATTTTGTAAAAAGCTATATGTAATTTTTTGTTGATTTATTAGCAGATAATAATCTTGTAATTTGAGTTGTACTCCCTGTTTTTTTAAATCAATATAATATGGTAATAATGATTTTCTTTTACATGAGTTTATAACTAAATCGGCAGCCATGTTAATATTTTGCCACTCCCAATAATTTATTTTGTTTCAATCTATTTAATGTCATTAAAATATTATTTCTCTGTTGTTCCGATTTCAGAGTTAAACATTTAATATTAATTTTAAAATTAGATATACTATAAATAGATTTTATATCTTCATTTTCATTGCATGAAATTTTTAGAGAGTGCATCATGAAATTCAATAATTCTTTATGATTTACATCTATTAATTTATTTGCATAAGCATATATTATTAACTTCTTATTATTTATAGCATTATTCAAAGTATCAATCTTAAATTGTATTAGCACTTTATCTTTATGTAATTTGGTAAATTCTAATTCAATCTTTTCATTTCTTTCATTAATATCAGGTCAGTCCATAAGTTCATGCCTATTTTATGACCTTGAGAAAAATCTTGTTTTGCTGTTAAAAATGCCAGTCTAATGTGATACTTTTTACACTGAAGTGTTAAATTGGATCTCATTCATATAATACTGTTCAGAATTGGGAACATTTCAGTTGTTTATTTTCGTTAAAATGGAAGTAACAGATGAATATAAGAGACGTGTTTTGTACTTTTTATTTTTAAGTGATGAGAATGCTACAAATGCAGCCAAAAAATTAAATACTGTTCATAATAAAACTGTAATTAGTGTAAGGACTGCATACAAGTGGTTTGAAAGATTTAGAAGTAATGATTTTAGTGTGGAGGATAAGGCTCGTACTGGAAGACCTGTTGGCTTTGATGATGATGCTCTCTCTGCACTAGTTGAAGCAGAACATCTTTAACAGAAATTGCCGAACGTTTAAATTCATCCCATGGAACTGTTCATAGACATCTACAACAAATAGGAAAAGTTTCAAACCTAGGAAAATCGATACCACATGAACTGTCAATAGCTAACTGACAACAACGTCAACTGCTCAACTCAAAAGCTTCAACTGGGAAATTTTACCTCATCAACCATATTTGCCAGATATTGCTCCCAGTGATTATCATCTTTTTCGGAGTTTGCAGAATTTTTTAAAAGGGAAAACTTTTGAGGATGAGAACAATATAAAAAAGGCTATTTCTGAATATTTTGATTCAAAACCGAAATCATTTTACAAAGACAGGATTAAAGAGCTACCATCAAGATGGCAAGAAATTGTACAAAATAATGGTGAACACATTATAGATTGAAATAAAATTTAATTAAAATTTTTTGTTGCTTTTTTTGTAGATAAAAATATGCATGAACTTATGGACTAACCTGATAGATTGTAATTGTTTTTTAAAATTNCATCAAGATGGCAAGAAATTGTACAAAATAATGGTGAACACATTATAGATTGAAATAAAATTTAATTAAAATTTTTTGTTGCTTTTTTTGTAGATAAAAATATGCATGAACTTATGGACTAACCTGATAGATTGTAATTGTTTTTTAAAATTAATTATTTCACAATGAACAACATTAATTTCCTCACCAGTAATACCAGTAATAAAAAAATAGAGAAAATTGTTTCTCCATTTTTTTATTACTGGTATTATTAAGTTCTACTATTTTCAACCATAGGTCTGTAGTTGAAATGTCTACTGTTTCCGTAGTTGTTAGCTCTATCAAAGGGTTTAAATTACATTTCTCACCTGTCTGTGTTGGAAATTCAGTTCTTATTTCTGTACAGTCCGTGGTACGGTTTGTCTCTAACTCCGATGATATTGTGTTGTTAGTTGATTGCTTTAGACGATTTATTGGTGGTCTTCCTCTCTTCGTTGGTGTTTTCTGCAACGGCTCTGGATTCAATTCAATTCCAGATATTAATAATAATTAAGATTATTCATTTTAGTTGAAAAAAATTACACAGTTTGCAATTATTAACTATTATACTAGTCTTGGATGAAATGAACAAAAAAGTCACCAACAGCATTGACGAACGGAGCACCCCCTTCATTAAGATGATTTATTCCTATCTTTTTATTTACCAAAGCCAGATATTTATTTAAATTATATTAAAAATAAAAAAATTTAATAAAAATATGATAGAATCCATCGTTATCCTTTTACTTTCCCAACTTTTCATCCAATCTTTCATTCTTTTAAATAAAAAACTAATACAAGTACATGGCCAGAGTTATTCACATTTAATAAATATAAAAAATATAAATATGACTGTACCTGATTTACATGTTTTTGCGGAGGCAGTACCCTCAAAAGAATGGTCGTCTTCGAAACTTTGTGAATTTTTTAAGGACTGCTGATGGTGTGAACGGCGAAAAGGAAGGACAAAATGCAAAGTTTTATCTTTGTAAAGTCATATTTATATTTTTTATATTTATTAAACTTTCATTCTTTATTTTTCTCATATGAGAAAAATAAAGAAAATAACATAAAGTAAAGGTTTCAAAGTTTTTTAAAATAAGTTTATTGTTATTTTAAAGTTCACCTTAGGTGAAAAGTAGGGAAAGTAAAAAGAAAATAACAAATTTTATCATAGTTTTATCAAATTTTTATAATTTTAATATAATTTAATGAGCTTATAATGTATTATGCAATTAATTCATATTCATTTTTCTGTAATTTAGTTTTTCTTTTAAATTTTGTTCATTCATTTATTAATAGGCTGAATTTAAGAAAATAGAGGAAAAATATCTAATATATTCAGATTACAAATATAAGTTTGAAAAATAATAATTAAAAAAAATGCCATAATATTTTATCATTACAATTTTTTTTTAATTTTCAAATAATTTATCTTGAATAAAAAAAAACTTAAAAAATCTCAAAAAAAATTTAAAAAAACTCAAAAAATTTTATATGTAATTTGGTTATAAGTTTGTTACTTGGTTATAATGTATTTTGGCTGTAATTTGATTATGGTTGGTTGAATTATAGATCAAAACAATCCAGGTTTCAGATATTTGGTTATTAAATCAGATTATGTATTTTTATAAATTAAAATACATATGAGAGACATTCTTTAGCATCTATTGTGAAATATTTTGTAAAAATGGTTTGTAATTATTGGAATCATTTACAAAGTAACATTTTTTAGATTTAATAAAATTGATAAATTTTTTTAAAAATTTTACGCAATTTTGAGTATATATCAAGGATATAATAAATGTAATATTAATTACTTTTTACATTACTCTAACTAAAATATACTAAAAACAAATAACAGTTATTATTTATCATGTAAAATTCTTACAAAATAACTAAATTTAATTATTTTGTAATGATTTTAGTAATTGTCCTTTCTGTTGAGTGTGGATTAGTTATAATTTTACTATAGAGAATTAGTTAAGGAAATGCATGTTTNGCTACACAAAAGCCTGGGAACATTACAATTGAGTAGAAATACATACATCACACTACAGAAGGCCACTATATTGAATACATGCCATATTGTTAGGAAATTCCTTAATACAGACACTGACACACACATTTAATTTTAGTTTTGTTTTGGTTGCTATGCCTTGACTCTGGTCCGGCATAGTACACAGCCACCGGTTTAAACCGAGTATTACCTACTAAACCCAACATAATAATAATAATAATGAGTGCAAAGCCCAAATAATTAGAAGTTGAACGTTGAAATTTGAAACACAGTTAGGGTACGACATGAGAATGTACAGTAAGGAAGAATTTTTTGAAATTCCCCCCCCCCATAGGAAAGAGGGAGAGGATTAATTAAGGATTACCCTGAAGAACTCCGCTTCTACTGTACTATTTTAGATATGGTTTCTGCATTTTTGCATGAAATCAAACATATTTTTAGACCCATCTAAAAATTCTCTAATTAGCCTCGGAAGAGGGGGATCTAATTCTTGCATCTGGTGAAAATGGGTAAGATTGGCTATAATTTAATAATCTTAATCTTTGCTATCATTACTTTTTTGCTTGAGCAATGCTGGGCTCATCTGCTAGTTCTACAAAAAGACATTTTTTCATTCCTGCATCCTTTTAAAGGAAATAATTACATCACAATCATATATACTTTCCATACATGCATATGAAATAAAAAATAATAATTCAGTTTTTTTTAACTAAAATTAATATTAGAAAAACTTACCTTCTTTTTTTATAGCATCAATAGACATTTCAAAAAACTTTGTCAAATTTTGTCTTAATTCTTTTTCATGTTCCAACTCCACTTTTAATGTTTCTAATTCATTCTTGAGTACACAATAATCATTATATGAAACAACTGTTACTTCATCCACTTCTTCACTGTCAGAATTTTGATTATTGCTTATTAAATTAACTTCAGAACTCATTGATTTATTTTCTTTTAATGTATTCTTTGTACTTGATTTATCCTTTGTTTTTACAGTATTTTCTTTTGGCTTCTAAAAAAAATTAAATATAGAAAATTTTAATTACATTATATAATGTTATCAGTTCATATTTATAATTTTACTATATATCATTTTATCTACAATAATTTTCATGACTGTAGAAAACAATACTCCTATAGTATGAACAGAAAATAGTGATTAGCTTGAGAAAATACTATTTATTATAAATTAATAATTGGAAATTAAAATTTTTTTCTATGGATTTCCATTCATTTATTTGAAAATTAAAAAAAAAAGCTATACATTTCAATGTTTCAGTTTGTTCATAATTTGTATTCATAAACATTCTTTCCTAACTAAAATTCTCCTCAAAAACAGAAATATGTAAGTCCTAATGATTGCAACCAATCAACTATATCTTAAACTTTTCTATCTCTAGATCAGGGATGTCCAACCAGTGTATCATAGTATACTTTTAAGATCAGCTTTCTCTGCATTACACATCTCTAAAAATGTTATTTTAAAATTAAAAAAAAAATTTGTCTTTTCTATGGACAGTTAAGTAAATATTACATTTATTGTAATGCTACTAATGCATAAAATAGGTATTGCCAGGGTTCCTCTTTTCCTAGCCAATTTCTAATAAGTCCATTTGGGGCTCCAGTGACAAATTAAAAATCTCGATGCACTGTTTTACTAAAACATGTATTTATTATTCCATTTGTTGTTACAATATATGTTTGTTGGAATAATAAATATATGCATTGGTAAAACAGTGCATCAAGATTTTTAACTAACCACTGGAACCACAACTGTACTTATTAGAAAATGACTTTGGTAAGAGGAACTCTATCAATACCTATTTAATATAGTAGTATTACAATAAAAAAAATATGTTATTTTAATTTCCAATTATAAATAAAAACAAAATAAAAAATTTATATCACTTGTGTTTAAACATGAAATACAAAGATAAAAACACATTATACTAGTGTTAAAAGCAAATTTATAATATAGGGAATATAACATTTTCCAAGTATTGTTAAATATATCCTGACATGACTCAATTCAACCCAATTAAATTTCTGTTCATATTGCCTTTGCAATTTCTTCAACATTGTGAAAATTTCCTTATCAGTTATTATTCCTTATCAGCTAAATAGTATGGTAAACCCTATCATTCTTTATAAATCAGCACTAATTTCAACATCCTATCTCTTTGCGATCCAAGTTTCATTGCCCAAATGTTGCATGGCATCACCATATTCAGTGTTCACGTGCAACTGCTACCCCTCCCCGCACAGTTATACATTCCCACTACCCACCATTTCAAATATGGACATAAACCTTCTATCCAACAAAATTTAAATTATTAGATCATCACTTATAGTTTATGAGATATTAGAGTGACAAATCTTGCCATTTTTTTGGTCACTCTAGTTTTCATAGACCCCTCTATATTGAACCGAATTTAAAGACATATTCAGATCAAAAAGGAGCAGGAGAAACAGATGGATTCCATGGTATTTGCAGATTCCCTGACTTTTTCTGCTAAAAATCATATTCCCTGATTTTCCCCTGACTTTCCAGGTCTGTAAAGACCCTGAGTTTATCATAAACTGGTTTTAGAATACTCAGTGATGACAAATTTAATTTAAGCTGAATTTATATTCGAGTATATTTCTTATGATCTGATTTGAAATTTAAATAATTTTCAAATAAAAAAATATAATAATTCTTAGTACTTACCAGATTATTAGCTAATTTAAAATTAAATTTGAGAATTAATTAAAAAATATAAATTTTAACTTAAGAGAGAAGAGGAAACAAAAGAATGAATAATGTTAGAATTTTTATTTTTAAAGAAAAAATTATTTTTCTATAATATTCCAAAATTAAATTATAGGAGAAAACACAAACTGTAAAAAAAATTCTTTTTTTGTCCATTTTACATTTATATTTATAGTAATTTTAATTAAAAACAGTATAATAAAATATTTTCTCAGTATTAAAATTTTTTCAATTCATTTTAAATAATTTGTATATTAATTCTTTAAAGAAAACAGAGATTATCTTAATAGAAAATTATTATTTTTATTTATGAAATCTTCAATTTTTGTTTTCTCTTTTGCTTATACAGAATTAGCTATTAGAATAATAAATACTATAGTATGAAATTTTAAAACTAATTATATTTATTTAGATCTTGAATATTATTCTATTTCCATATACAGGTGCTTCCCTACCTACAAAGAGATTAGGTACCCAAAGTTTTGTCATAAGTTTAAATGTTTGTAAGTCAAAAACTCACCTAGAAAATAAACCAACATCTACAAACCTAATATACTGTACATAAGTAACATGCCAACTACTACCAGATTACATTGGGCTATTGTATCATGATTATTTTAAATTAATTACTAAATAATTTGTCACTAGAGACAAGCATTAAGTGTCATCTCTTATTAGATTTAATAATTATAATTAAATTAAATAATTTAGAAAATTCTGGAAGAAAAGAATCAGCCTGGAGTGGGACTCAAACCCACAACTGAGACATGAGAATTCTTATACGAGCACTAAGGTGGCTTTTCTTTTTTGCTAAACTTATTATACCATCAGTAAAAGGAGGATATAATTTTATCCCTGTAATTTTAATTTTATGTAATTCTAATTTTATGTATTCTAATTTCATCTTAATTTTATGTAATTTTTTTCCCTATATAGCTGTAACACACAGAGTTGAAAAGGGACATAATTGTCTAAAATGCATTCTCAAAGAAATGAAAAGTTTTTCTAAAGTTTGTCCTCCTTTTACTGATGGTATAATAAGTCTAGCAAAAAAAAAAAAAGCCACCTTAGCGCTCGTACAATTATACACAGACTAGACAAGAAGCGTATCACACAAATGAGAATTTTTGTTTAAATATATCTGAAAGAGGAGATTGAACTGGAGGCTTGGGCAGCATAACCGGCAATGCATCCGCAGGATAAGTGACAGTTGTGGGTTCGAGTCCCTCTCTGGACCAATTATTTTCTTCCAGAATTATCTAATTTAATTATAATTATTAAATCTAATAAGAGATGGTGCTTAATGCCTCCCTCTAGTGACAAATTATTTACTAATTAATTTAAAATAATCACAATATAATAGTCAGATGTAATTCAGTATTTGTTGACATGTTATTAACCTAGAAAGTAATTAATCAATAACAATAATCACTTATTGTTAGTGTTAGATCCTTCAATGTACTTAACAGAATATGTTACACTCATTTACCTGTTTGCTACTGCTTAGCAGTGAGTGTTTCAAATGCAGTTTTTTTTCACCTAATGCACATAGTTTTATAAAGTCCAGTTTAGTTTCCAAAGTAATAGAGTAACATTTCTTGCATTTATCTCCACTTCTAGATTTACTATTACATTTTGGATGCATGTTTTGGAGCACTAATTGTAGAATTTTATAAAATATTACAAACAATAGCAAAAAAGAAAAAACCCACCATTATTCTGATGTTACTGACGTTAACATCCCCTCACAGGTGGCAATAAACATTGAAATTTGCATGAAAATAAAAACGACAATACATGATAGAAATAAGCCCACATTAATTATTTATTACTGGCCAAAAACAGACTACAAAGCCACTCCACAATTTAAATTTTAGACATACGATCAAATTGTTCATAAGTTTAATATTTGTAAGTAGGGGAGCACCTATAAATATATAAAATATGTGTATTATTGTTATATACAGTAATTTTATTTTATTTTATATAAAACTAAACATAATTGTAAAAGATATTAAAATTTATTTCTCTATATCATATAACCAAATATTAAAAACTATGAATGAAACTATTAAATTTTTTTTTCTTAATTCGAATTATATATGTATATATATTATTTTGCAATGAAAATTTACTCACCAAAGAACTTGTACTTGATGTATTACTATCTTTTTTCAATTTCTTTTTTGTATTTGGTGGTAAACAGATGTCATCAACCATATCTGAATCTGGGTATAATTAATGTAAGTCAATTGATAAATAAATAGTCCATAACTTAATATTTAAAAGAAAATACAGAGTTATTCATAAGTCCTTGAAACATTTTAAAAATTTATTATTCATAACAGATACTATATTTTTCAATGATGAAATAAAGATAAACTCTGCAAATTTTTTTACATGAGTTACAAATGTTCAGTGTGTCCACCTTTGCTGTTGTGGCAGGTATCTAGCCAATAACCAATTTCCTCCCACAAAGGTGTCAGCATATCACAGCTGACCAAGGTCACGGCAATACAGTCAGCAGTTCCTGAAGATTACAAGGAAATGGGGACATAAAAACAGTGTCCTTAATAAATCCTTATGAAAAAGTCACACGAGGTTAAATCTGGTAACTGAGATGATCAACCCAAGAACACATTACCATTTTGTCCAGTGCATCCTATCCAGTGTTGAGGCAAATATTCATTGAGTTATCATTACACTTCATAATGGTAATAATCTGGACAGCCATTTTGTTGAAAGATGTAATTTCCAATACACAAAATGACATTTCACATTTGCTTAGCACCATATTTGTTACTATTGCCTCCTAGCAACAAATCAGGCAACTATGCATGCATATTATTCATAAAAAATATAAAACTTAGAGTTTAACCTTTATTTCAATGTTAAAAAATACAGTGTCTGTTGTGAAGTTTATGAATATTAATTTTTTTGCCTATTTTATAGTCTTATGAATAGCCCTGCACATATACATATATAATAATTATAATTAAATTAATATTAATTAAATGATTTACAATAGAAATTTTCTTATAAGAAAATAATTGGCCCAGAGCAGGATTCAATTGTCAGTTACACTATCTAGACCTCTGTCTGATCCCTCATTTTCAGACATATCTTTACTCGCTTATAAGACAACCTTGCATATAGGACGAGGTGTGACTTTAAAGATCAAAATAAAGAAAATTAGATCTATTAATACAATTCTAATTTTATTTCATTTAATCACAAGTAAAATATCAAATGAACATAAATGCACACATTGTCCTGCAAAAATTACTGGCATTTTAAACTTCAAAGAAAAATCTTGTAAAATCAACAACGAAATTTGTTCATGTAAAGCTGGACAATCGGGAGCCCTTTTTGCCTATTCTTAAAACAGTCAAATCCACTCTCCATCGATTACACTTATGCATTTCTCGAATTCTGATTTCCGAATAATCATCTGTTTTCACATAGGAATGGACTAAAACTTATATCGGGCTCCCATGTGATTTTGGAATTTCAATCTGAAATTCAATTCAAAAGCTTTGCTTTTCCTATTGCTAAACACAAAAATTCACACTTAAATGCTAATTCCAGCAGTAATTGAACAAAAATTTTAATGTTCAAACATTTTTGGCTGTCTTTTAGAGACCCTCCTCAGGAATATATGAAACACAAAAAAAGAAAACAGTTCTAGCATTTGAAAACTTCTAACTGTCGAATACAGCCGTGTTCCAAATTTTTAAATATTTATAAATTTGGGTTTTTCAATCTTCTCTTGGTTTCAAGGTTGTTTTTTCTAATTTTCATAAAATATGTTTTTTTTTAAATTTGACTTAAAATAAAATATGTCTCAGACATCTTTTATTTTATTTTAATAAATATAAAATGACTTAATAAAAAAATTTAGATTTTAGAAACAAAAACGAAAAGCATGGTACTTTATTTGCTGAATCCTAAATCGCGTGGAGTTAAAAACACTCAGATACACTTAAGCACCTGTTCAAGCTGTGAAATCATTCCCCGCAATGATTTGCTATCATGACACAAGCAGCAACACCTTAACTCCAGCTACTTAATTAAAAATCTGAATGGCTTACATGTATTTTGAAATTAAAATGTATTGCTTTATGCAATGTTTATAACATTGTGGTTTGAAAATGTATGAAGTAATAATACTTTTTATTCTTAAATATGGGCATGATATATATATGTTGTATATTTTGAAAATATACAGTACATTGTAAGTTTGTATATGAAGTGGTGTAATTTTTAGAACAAAAATTTTAGGAGAATTAAAATGATGGCAGCTAAACATGTTGCATTTATTCTATTNATTTTTTATTCTTAAATATGGGCATGATATATATATGTTGTATATTTTGAAAATATACAGTACATTGTAAGTTTGTATATGAAGTGGTGTAATTTTTAGAACAAAAATTTTAGGAGAATTAAAATGATGGCAGCTAAACATGTTGCATTTATTCTATTAATTAATTTAATTCTTAAATGTGAATAATTATATATAGGTTAATATGATATTCAAGCCAAGTAATATTAATTAATAGTTAAAACTCACTGTGTTCAGTGTTATTAATCGTTTTTTCGTTCATTCGAGCGCTTTCGATGAATATATTTCCGTCGTCTTCAGGCGAATAAAATGTTTTAATCGAACATGAACATTCGAGAGAAGAACACACACAAATTTAAATTTAAAGGCTTCATCGGAGGGCACCAATGAAGCCTTTTGCACCTTCATGCAGCATGTTTCTAATGTATATCCCTCCATCAATTTTATGTGGGAAAAGGAAAGTAGTGCAGCTATAACTTTCTTAGATCTGTGCGTACGTAGAACCTCGGAAACATTACTCTTTGCAGTTCAACGTAAGTTTAACATGCTACCATACATCATCCCGGCAAATGCATTCCAACCTGCATGTTATGTGGATGCCGCCATAGCCACCCTACTAAGAAGAGTGTTTTTGCTGTCATCAACACAAGATCTCAAACAGTGAATTAAACAATATTAGTTTAGCAGTATGTGCAGCGGGTTTCCCACATGCTAAATACACACATGTACTCAATAAAGTCAAGAAGACGCTGTTTCCAATCTCTACGTTAACAAATAGAAGGGAAGTTATGTTTGTACAACCAGCCTTACCATACCTCGGTCCGCTTTCTCTATGCATTTGCTGCATATTTAAACAACATGGTCTGCTCCTGCCCCTATCTCCGTTACCTAACTTGCGCAGACTGCTCTGCAATGACCAAGACAAGAAGTCAGGAATTTATGCGGTTCCATTAGAAAATCCTGTAATGGGGAACAGCACGAGATACATTGGGGCCACAGCAAAAATGTTGGCTACCCACCTGACCGAACACCAGGATGATATAGCAAAAAGGAAGGTGCAGCACTGAACTCACAAGAAGGGTATGCGACATGAATTATAACCCATTATGGGCCCACGCCACTATACTCAGGGCATGCAACAACCGAAGACTACTCTTTGTATGGGAGTCACTGTATATAACAACATTTGAAACGTGCAACACACCTACTCTAGAGCTGCCTAATATATGGATCGCCCTATATAAACAATTAAACGGTGAGTTACATCACATGTCATGTCACTAACAGGAAGCAGTACCACGCATGCGCCGTATTATATCATATTCGTAACATCGCACGTAATTCAAATCGTAGCGGACTCATATCAAAAAATTGTTTAAATTTAAATTTATGTGTGTTCTTCTCTCGAATGTTCATGTTCGATTAAAACATTTTATTCGCCTGAAGACGATGGAAATATATTCCTCGAAAGCGTTCGAATGAACGAAAAAACGATTAATAACGCTGAACACAGTGAGTTTTAACTATTAATGAATAATTATATACAGTATTTAATAAGTGTAATTTACCTACAACACAATGTTAGTGTTCTAAATTTTAAGAAATGGACTTATTGAGTCTAATACTGTATATAAATTATCTGTGGCAATTATGGGTTCAGCCAGGCCCACAATGGGGATGGCCAGATGGTGAGGGATATGTCAGCTTCCGTTTCCCAACATTAATTGCAGAAAACAAACTTAACCTGTTAGATGATGAATGGCAATCATTTCATTTAGCAAAAGATTTGGTCATACAATATAATAGTATACCAGAATATTGGTTCTTGTTGCGCAATATACAAGATGGTTTTGGTAACTGTAAATATGCCCTACTAACTCAATTTATGATGCAGCTCAGTTCTTCCACATTCCTCAACCAGTGTTGAGAGAATATTTTCACAAATTAACAACATTAAGACCAAACAAACTAACAGGTTAACTGTTGAATCGGCAAAGGACAAGTTGCTTGCTAAACAAGCAATCAGTAGGAAAAATCTTAGCTGTTTGCTGTATGAACTTGAACCTAAACTAATTAGAGATGCGGTACAAGGAATTTGCCACCAAAAGTATAAGAAGCGACAAGAAGAGCATAAAGATTGTGCAGAACTGTTAATGGAAGAACAAGAAACAGAGTAACTGTGAAATAACATTAACTACTGTGTAAATTAGGTAATAAATGGTTTTTTAATTTGTATTATAGTGTCTGTAATCATAACAGCATGAATGTACTGCAATAAAGTATTTATAATTATATTTTAAATCACAAATTTTTCTGAGTAAATAATCTGGGTTTTTAAACTCCTCATCTGGGGTTTTTCCCATCCAGACCCAAGTTTTTTCATATGTTGCAAGTGGCATCTCTGATGTGAATAATGCTGCATTAAGTCAATTTTGTGCCTGATTCTAATGTGCACTCCAATATAAACATTCAATCCAAAAACCCATATTTTAATTAAAGCAAATGAATTAAGGACTAACAGCATCATCTATTTTTAGTCAAGTTATTTTATATTTAACTATTATAATTAGCCTTAACATAGCTCACTAATTGTTTGGCTTTAATGTGCATCCTAACTTTTGAGTCCAAAATAGGTGTGCATTAGAATCAAGAAAACATGGTATTTATCAATATTTATGTTCAAACAAAACAATGTAGACATACAATTATGTTATTTTGTATGTCTACACTTAAAAATATCGGTAAAATGTTATTTAAATTAATTATCCTGTTTGTTTTTTTTTTCTGCTATAGAAATGATGTAACTAACTGAGAATGTATTTTTCATTTATTACTGCAGTAATTTAAAAGAATTGATAAAATTGCACTTATTTTACCTTCTAATTCAACCAATTAAGTTTTTTCTAAGCACCTTTATTTTTATAGGAATTTACAATATATTCTCTATATACAACCCTCCTTTTAATGATTTATTTGTCTGCTAGAAAGCCACTATTTGTCATAATGCAAACCTTGATTTCCCACATATAATTTCTAAATACTTCAAGAACAGCATATCATTCCTATTTCACTTTCCCATTTTCTCTTCTGTGATCACCAATCACCATGTTTGATCCACCAAACTCAAACGATCAGCTCAATTGAAAATTTGAACACTGATCAGAACCTAAACCACATTGATGCAACAGTATTTTCCTTCATATCAAATCAACTACATACACACATCAATTCTTAAATTTACACATGTGAATTTGTTCAGGATTTTATACATAACTTTTAATTATAATTTAATTTTAATTGAGTTTATAATTATTATTTTTATATGTCCACACACATAATCTGATAACAATTAAAAAACCAATATGTTAAACAATTTATGATATAATTATTGTTTAATTATATCATAAATTTATTGTACAATTTTAAATAAAGTTACACTTAGTTAAGATTCATTAAAGTTTCAGTCTATAATTTTTGAAAAACTAATCAATCAACAAATTGTCATTGACATCTTGAAATACTTATATAAATTATTTCAACACTATGTTACTGCCTGTTACAGAGATAAAATAGCATATTATATGGCTATGGTATAAATCAAATCATCTTTTATACAGTTTACTAGCATATTTGTAAATCTAAAATATTAAAAAATATATATTTACAGTAAATTAATGTCTTTCTCTACTAATGTAAACTGGATATGAATAAACTGTAAAATTATTTTACAGTACATTAAAAATCAATAATCTAAATTAAATATACCTGGCAATATATCAAATGACTGATGATGATTTGTATATTACATAAAAAATTCTATTGCTTTCAACAAAACATTTTAAAGAAAAACTTGAAGAATAAAATAAATTAATAAACAAAACAGAAATAACACTTAATATACAAAAATTTAGGTTAACACAGTCTAGTTTATTTGTAATCTAAGTTTGGCATCATTAGTGAGCACATTTTTATATATAGATTTAATTTCCAAAAATAAAATTCTAACTTATTTTAGATTTGATTTAAGACCTATGAATAACTGACTGATATTACAACTTATATTCAGCATTCTAAACTACCATCTGTAAAACATCTATCAGTATCACACTACATTTACTAATTATAGAAAAATGTATTTATAAAAATCTACTGCATTTTTAAAATTTACTTTAATGATTTAAATAATAGTAAAATTTTTATAAAGGAAAAGTTACTTTTCATACTTTTATTCTTATAATATTTTTTTCGATGGTTTCTCAATCTTTCTTCTAGATATCCACTTGATGATTTATGTTTTTTACCTCTACAAAACCACGTGTCCTGTAATAAAAATATTTTTTGTCTTGTAAGAAACAATTTACAATATATTTAAAATTAAATTTTCAATTATTTTATTTAACATTGTTTATTTTACAAATAAATATATTAGATTATACAAATGTAATCCAATCGACATTTTCAAGTAAAAACATTATCATCAATCTAAAATTCCTTCAGACAACTTGATATAATAACATGATAGCTCCAATACATGGTGTTAGTATCGGACTAGAGAATATATTTTAAATTAAATAAATTAAAAATTGCAGCCTGGCAATGTGAAAATGTCACAATAAATAGCACTAAATCTTTGTAATACCATCTAAAACAATTTTCCAATAGCTTATTACCTTGATAACAACTAACATTTTTGATCCTTCAGCTGGATCTTCTTCAGGTTGAACATAAACATTGCATTTTAAAATCTGAAGAAGATCCAGCTGAAGAATCAAAAATATTAGTCATTATCAAGATAATAAGCTACTGGAGAATTGTTTAGAAGGTACTACAAAGAAGATTTGGTGCTATACTTCCACTCTAGTATTAATAAGTGAAAGTAGAATGTCACAATAAATAATTGCTTGGTATACTGTATATTATTTAATAATTATGCTATGCATTGCCTGCATTCAGGTATAGGACAACAAGAACAAGATCAAAAACAAAGCCAGAAACTATAAAAGTGTCAATGTAATACTTTAAGCTTCTCAAGCTGTTCTAAAAGCTCTGCCTTCATTCTTGTCTTGCCAGGCACGTCATCAGATAATTACCAGAGGGAGTCTAAAAACAGCACATTACATATAGTGCAAAATAAATTTCAAATCTTCAAGATAACCTCTATAACATAACTTATTATGCTTGCACATTTTGCTGAAATGTGGTTGTACTTTTAAATGAATTGTATTCTTGTAAATATGTTGAAACACTTATACAATTCAACCTCAATAGCATAATTAAATTATAATTCATAAGTTCTCTGTAAAGGGTTTATTTATTGAAGGAATTCAATTTTATAGATTGTTAAATTTTGAAACTGACTTAAAAAAATGTTGAAATATTTTATAAGAAACTATTAGATTTAATAAACTAATATAAAACTAATTTTTTTCATATTATAAAAACACTTTAAATTTTAAAAAAATGCTATTCTATACATTCGGTTTAAAGCAAGCATATAAAACTTCTTACATATCCACCATCTTCATCTTGAAGGAATGGAAAATATTTAATAATGGATGCTGCTAACTTTTCTTTGACATCTCTTGAAGGGCTAAGGATAAAGTTATTGCCATTAATTTTATATATAAATAAATAATATATTATTAAACATTTTTATAAAGAATTAATTTTTTAAACAAAATTTCATTATACAGATTTACCTTTTTGTAAATATTACAAAAAGATATCACTTGTTCTTATAATAAATTTGTTCATTTTAAATGGATTATAGGTGGCAGTAGTGCTTTTATTGCAAATATTATAATATTAATTATTTTAGTGTTGTATTAAAAAGATTTAATTTTTGTATAATTTTCTGTGTGTAATAGTTAATTATATTTAAGTTTTATTAAAATATTTTCCATTATATCTAATAAACAAACTTAGATATCTAATTTAATACTGTAATTTAATTAAATCAATAATCATCTGATTTAACATATAATGATAATGACCATCCTAATGATTTCTAAGTTATAATTTCTAGTGTTTTAAGTTTGACTAATCAAACAGATTTCTTCCACTTAGATAGTCATTCTTCTCACCTATTTAGAACTAAAGAATTTCATTAAAACTTATGTAAGATAATTGTAGACTTTAAAATACAATTGAATGCTTTTATTTGATACTTTTATTTTAAACTATTTCTGTCCTATAAGCAATAAGAGGGTTTCTTTCCTGTCCATTGTGAATTTGATAAGCCTTACCATAGGGCAACTAGATGGTGAGGCACAGAACCAAATATATCAGAGTCAACCATCCATAGAAATTTCTGAGGATCTGATCCAGCCAGACTCATTGCCTCAGCCACCCAGTTTGATTTTAATAAAATATTCTATTATTGACACATCAGTAAAAGAAAAACCATAATTATTATTAGTCTACATTATAAATTATTACTCACTAAGGTCCAAATCTCTTTACAAGTTCTGCAACTAAAATTCTTGTAAACTTGTACCTGTAATCATTTGTAAGATTTTGTGTATTCAGAAGTTGCAAAACTTCTCTTCCTGAATTAGTCCTTTTAAGAATCTCTCTTATATCCTGCAAAGTTAAATTATTATTTTAAAATCAAAATAATAATATAATAAAATATATACATATTACTTAAAATTTTTTTGACAAAATTTCTTTTAATCCAACTAAGAACTTATTTCAGATTTTATTATTCATATATCAGAAATCTAAGCAAGTATGATCATTATAGAACCATCCAATAGGATCACATACTATACTGTATAAGTAAATTGTATTAGTTTTCTTATTTTCACATATTTTAAAGTGTTATAATTTATATTACAGTGGAACCTCACTTAACAAGCATAATTCACTCAAAAATCATTCTCGTAATGTGAAACACTCATTAAGAGAAACAATTTTTCCCATAGAAATTAATGTAAAATACAATAATGCATTCCACGCCAAAAAAAAAACACTCAAATATTTTATGTATAACATTTATTCAAAGAAAATTGTACAATGTGCATTGTTAAGGAGTGTGAATCATCATCACCTTTTCTTCTAGTACAAAATGAACCAACCTGGAATGAAAATTCAATTTGCTGAAAACAAAAAAACAAAAAAAATCTCAGATAATATGTTTGATAAACATTCCAAACAATATGCCAAATTCTTGGGTTATGTAAAGGCTATAATTAATTAAATAATAGAAATTAATTAATTTGACTAGAGGTAGGCAATTATGCTGCCATCTTGTATTAAATTTAATAATTATAAATAGTTAATTTTTGATTTAGACATTTCTAAACTTTAATTTGGAATTGGTCATTAAACTTAATACAAAATGGCAGCATATCTGTCTACCTTTAGTCAAATTAAATAATTTCTAATACAGTAATATCCTGAACTTACGTGATAGGTGGGATCAAGCGATAACCATGTAAGTCGAATTCGTGTAAGTCGGAGTATAATTTCGCAATTTGTCTAAAATCCTAGTAAGATGTATGTAAGCTAATCAATGTTCTCATTAATCTTATCTCATCTTTTGATTCGTTCACGATTACAAGAAATCACCACAGAGTCTCTCAAGTCTCCGTAGATATAACAAACACAGAAATAAATAACACAAAATAAATTGTAGCTATGTGTCGATTCCGCGCGACACATCCGAACATGTAAGCTGAACAATAGTGTGGGGGGGGGCGTGAGTAATCAAGGGTTGCGTGGCGTTCAAAGAAAAGACGAATCAACGAGATTTGAAAATCGCGTAACTCTGGGTTCGCGTAAGTCGGGGTAGCATAAGTCGAGGTATTACTGTATTTAATTACAGTCTTTACATAGCCCAAGAATTTGGTATATCGTTTGGCATGTTTATTATATAACGGGCTACAGTTGTTTATGTTTAAAAGTAATATGTATGAACACAAGTTCGGAAAAATATGTAATCACAAGTATCACTAAGATGCTAGCGGAACAAGTGCTAAATACAAACTGATGGAACATGTGCACAATTCAGGATTTTCCCTCTCCTCGTCACTCGTTATGCAGGGGTGCACAACCTGCGGCCCGCGGGCCACATACGACCCCTTATCAATGTTTATGCGGCCCGCGGACGGTACAGGCCAAATCCCTTCTTTCGAAGTTTCTAAGTGTAGAACTTTTCCCTTTCACAAAGTCATTAGCACCCAACTGTTTTATAACTTTCCCTGAAGTGAGAAATGGGGGGGTTGTTCTATAAATAAGTCTATTTCTAGCTAACACTTTCTGGTTTAGATATCGAATATTCTAAGTCTAATACATAGTATTATAACGATTTTTTTGAAGAATCAAATAAAATAAAATGATGTTAGAACGTCATTTCCGATGTTATCAGGAAGTTTCTATTTTGGCGGGAAATCTTCAATTTTATGCTTCGGAAAACTTGCTTATTCGTCTAAATAGCGTCAAATAACAAAAATAAATGAAAATAGCGCTGAAAAACTATGAAAATAACGATTTTTTATGATTTGTTTACATTCTAGATTCTGATTGGTATTGTCGAATTTGAATCAATCTTTTCTGAAAAGACGCTTATTCGTCAACCTAATGTCATTCAAACTAGAAAAAACTAACCAGAGTTCAAAAAGAAATGTACAAAAAGCTATAACAACCAATAATTTACAACAATATCTCTCCATAGACTAAGAATAGAAAAAAATTTTTTCGCATCAAATTTATTATTATTAAGTTGGACCAAGAAAATTAATACTGTAGTTGGAATAGAGTCATTATGACTAAAAGGAAGCCGTTTGCACTAAAATATTTTGGATTTAATAATTATTACAAACCGCGTCAAGCCATAAACTTGTCAACAAAGAGGGTTGTAAAATGATTCCGTGTAGCTAGAAAGCTGCGGTTTCTTTTGTTTGAAAGAAAACAGATATATTTAGGTTATTTAAGTAGTAAATTAATTGGAACTTTTTATTTACTTTTATTTTTACATTCTTTTTTTCGTAAATTTAAAATTAAATTATTATTTTTAATTTTTATTTTATTTGAAATTTAACAGTCGTAAACTGTGATATATTTATGACAGAAAACAAAAAACAGATTGATTCTAGCGCCAATTTGAAACGAGATATCGCAATTTTAATAATTATATTTAAAATATTCAGATTTTCCACTGCACTGTGTTAATCACTTTTGATTCATTTCTGAACACGGGGGTAAAACTGACGGGCCATAAATATAATTTAGGTAAGAATGGTAACCACATTTATGATGGATTAGTGTCCTGCACCTGGCATGTTGACGATCTGACTCACAAATTCTGAGAAATGGTGGAGACGCCCGGACAGGGGTCAAACGAATTAAGACCTGCCTGGCCACGTGTGCGTAATAGTCTTCTGTCCCTGCCTCTTTAGTCTTTGGTCAGAGTGGATACAGAACAAAGCACGTGGTAGTCTAGCTTGCCTTATCTCAAACATGATTTGTTGCGGGCCTCAGAATTTTCGGCACAATGAGACATTGTTTTGCAGAGTGAACAGTATGGCGCCGGGCATTAAACGCAAGGTCAATCGCGAGAATCATCAGTTTCAAGAAGTGGAAGTGTGGACTAACAAGTACTGTTTTGTGCAACAGAACAACAGCATTATTTGCCTTTTGTGCAATGGAACAATAGCAGTGCCAAAAGAATTCAACCTGAAGCGACATCATGAAAGCCAACACAAGGATTTCCTTCTGCAAGGTACGGAACGCAAACGGAAAATCGAATCGTTACGACGATCACTAATCAGCCAACAAAATGTGTTCAAGAAACAATCTGGAGAATTGGATGCGGCTGTTGAAGCCAGCCTAGAAATATCTGCTTTAATAGCCAAGAATGGGAAACCTTTCACAGATGGCGATATGATAAAAAAGTGTCTTATCATCGCAAGTGAGATGTGTCCTGAGAAGACAGTGTTTTCAAACAATCAGTCTTAACCACATGACGATACAACAAAGAATCTCGCAAATTGCATCAGACATTTCTGGCCAACTTAATATTTTAGTTGCAAACTGTGCTTATTTTTCTTTGGCTGTGGAAGAATCCACTGACATATCATCAACAGCACAAGTGATTGTGTTTATTAGAAGTGTTTCACTAGATTTTATTGTGAATGAAGAATTTCTTGGCATGGCATCACTTTCTGGACATACAACTGGTGCTGACTTATTTACTAGTTTATTGAGCGTTTGCAACAAATCAGCACTGGACTTTGACAAGCTATCCAGCATTGCCACCGATGGAGCACCATCTATGGTTGGATGTGAGAATGGCATGGTCACCTTGCTGAAAAACCACCTTGGGGACAGGCAAAAGGAGTTAGTCCAGTATCATTGCATAATTCACCAACAGCAACTTTGTGCAAAGAAGCTGGGATTTGAACGTCTGCTGAAAGATGTATATGATACTGTGAACTTAATCCGCCGTCATGGACTCAACCATCGACTCTTCACATCATTTCTTGAAGAAATAGATGCTGATTATGCTGACCTGCCCACGTATACTGAAGTTCGTTGGCTGAGCAAGGCAACAGTCCTCAAGAGATTTGTGGAGCTATTGGGGCCTATTATCACTTTCCTCAAAGAACGGGGGAACACTACAAGGAATTTGGAGGGACAAAGATGGCAGTGTGATTTAGCTTTCCTTGCTGACATTACTGCTTATCTAAACGACCTTAATTTGAGATTGCAGGGAAAGATGCAACTTGTTTCTCAGTTGACAAGTAACATCAATGCATTTATGACCAAACTATCACTTTTCAAGTCCCACATGCAATCAGAGAACTTTACACACTTTCCACATTGCAAGGCCATGAAAGAGAAATACCCACATATGAAGATGGATTACTCTGACCAAGTTAACACCCTCCTTACATCATTCAATGAGAGGTTTGGTGAATTCCAGAAATACAAGATCTACCTGCAACTTTTTTCAACTCCATTTGATGTGAAAGTGGAAGATGCCCCTCCAGATGTCCAACTTGAGTTGATAGACATCCAGTGCAGTGATGAATTGAAATCACAGTTCAAAAATTCTAATCTCCTCACATTCTACAAAGAACTGCCAGATACATCATTTCCAAAACTGAAAGACAATGCTCGATTTTGTGCAAGCATGTTTGGCAGTACCTATGTATGCGAACAAGCGTTTTCGCTTATGAATTTAAACAAGTGCAAAACACGGAACAGGTTAACCAACGAGAATTTGGAAAATCTGCTGGTTGTTTCAACATCTGCCATTACACCAGACATCAAGAAGATTGCTGCCAGCATCCAATCTCAGCCATCTCATTAATCGCTTGGAGGTCCGGCCCCCAGTCAGTAAACTTAACCCTAATTTGGCCCTTCTTCACAAAAGGTTGTGCATCCCTGCGTTATGCGAAACATCACTCATTAAGCAAGGCAATTTTTTACAATTTATTTTGCTTGTTAAGTGGGGTTCCACTGTATTTATTTCTTAAATTCATCTATAAGTTTATTTTATTTGTTTGATGTAATTCTGATAATGAAAAATGTTTATAAATTTCCTAACTATTAATACAACAGATAATTTTAAATACAATCCATTGGTTTATTGTCTGCTAGAAAGACAGCATTGATGTGTGTCAACTTTTAGGGATATACTGTGTGAACTTCAGCAATTGATAGCTATTATAAACATGGACTGTTTATATGCAAGATGCACTTCAAAATCGATTGACAGCAGATTCAAGGAACATCATATCTATTCCATAGCATTCTACACATTTTCAGTGCAACAGAATATTTTTCTTTGTATACAAGCATCCCAAAATCTGATATATATTGTAATATGCCAAACAACTGCCAGATTAAATCTGGCTATTTCTCCACTATTATTATTAATTAATTAATTTCAAATAATTTGTCAGAGGTGGGCATTAGGCACCATCTGTTATTAAATTTAATAATTATAACTACATTAATAATTTATAAATAATTTAGAATATTCTGGAAGAAAAGAATCAGCAACAAAACTGCATGGTAAGTGGGTGTTGTGGGCTCAAGTCCCACTCCAGGCCAATTTTTTTCTTCCAAAATATTCTAAATTATTTATAAAATATTACTGTAATTATAATTGTTAAATTTAATAATAGATGGTGCTTAGGTGCTACACCTGTCACTAATGACAAATTATTTGGAAATTAATAAATAATATTAGCAGAGAAGTAGCTACAAACATTGCTAAACCCGATATATAATATAGCTAAATACCAGCCAAATGCCGAAATTCTATCAGACTAGTTTAAGGCTAATTACTAAATGAATTACGTAACCAATTTGGCTCTAGAGGTAAGCATTAGGTGCCATCTCGTATTAACATTAATAATTATAAAAATCTCTCCCCCTAATTATTTAAATTAATTAATTTATTTATAATTATTAATGTTAATACGAGATGGCGCCTAACGCTTACCTCTAGAGCCAAATTGGTTACNAAAGGGTTTATTTATTGAAGGAATTCAATTTTATAGATTGTTAAATTTTGAAACTGACTTAAAAAAATGTTGAAATATTTTATAAGAAACTATTAGATTTAATAAACTAATATAAAACTAATTTTTTTCATATTATAAAAACACTTTAAATTTTAAAAAAATGCTATTCTATACATTCGGTTTAAAGCAAGCATATAAAACTTCTTACATATCCACCATCTTCATCTTGAAGGAATGGAAAATATTTAATAATGGATGCTGCTAACTTTTCTTTGACATCTCTTGAAGGGCTAAGGATAAAGTTATTGCCATTAATTTTATATATAAATAAATAATATATTATTAAACATTTTTATAAAGAATTAATTTTTTAAACAAAATTTCATTATACAGATTTACCTTTTTGTAAATATTACAAAAAGATATCACTTGTTCTTATAATAAATTTGTTCATTTTAAATGGATTATAGGTGGCAGTAGTGCTTTTATTGCAAATATTATAATATTAATTATTTTAGTGTTGTATTAAAAAGATTTAATTTTTGTATAATTTTCTGTGTGTAATAGTTAATTATATTTAAGTTTTATTAAAATATTTTCCATTATATCTAATAAACAAACTTAGATATCTAATTTAATACTGTAATTTAATTAAATCAATAATCATCTGATTTAACATATAATGATAATGACCATCCTAATGATTTCTAAGTTATAATTTCTAGTGTTTTAAGTTTGACTAATCAAACAGATTTCTTCCACTTAGATAGTCATTCTTCTCACCTATTTAGAACTAAAGAATTTCATTAAAACTTATGTAAGATAATTGTAGACTTTAAAATACAATTGAATGCTTTTATTTGATACTTTTATTTTAAACTATTTCTGTCCTATAAGCAATAAGAGGGTTTCTTTCCTGTCCATTGTGAATTTGATAAGCCTTACCATAGGGCAACTAGATGGTGAGGCACAGAACCAAATATATCAGAGTCAACCATCCATAGAAATTTCTGAGGATCTGATCCAGCCAGACTCATTGCCTCAGCCACCCAGTTTGATTTTAATAAAATATTCTATTATTGACACATCAGTAAAAGAAAAACCATAATTATTATTAGTCTACATTATAAATTATTACTCACTAAGGTCCAAATCTCTTTACAAGTTCTGCAACTAAAATTCTTGTAAACTTGTACCTGTAATCATTTGTAAGATTTTGTGTATTCAGAAGTTGCAAAACTTCTCTTCCTGAATTAGTCCTTTTAAGAATCTCTCTTATATCCTGCAAAGTTAAATTATTATTTTAAAATCAAAATAATAATATAATAAAATATATACATATTACTTAAAATTTTTTTGACAAAATTTCTTTTAATCCAACTAAGAACTTATTTCAGATTTTATTATTCATATATCAGAAATCTAAGCAAGTATGATCATTATAGAACCATCCAATAGGATCACATACTATACTGTATAAGTAAATTGTATTAGTTTTCTTATTTTCACATATTTTAAAGTGTTATAATTTATATTACAGTGGAACCTCACTTAACAAGCATAATTCACTCAAAAATCATTCTCGTAATGTGAAACACTCATTAAGAGAAACAATTTTTCCCATAGAAATTAATGTAAAATACAATAATGCATTCCACGCCAAAAAAAAAAACACTCAAATATTTTATGTATAACATTTATTCAAAGAAAATTGTACAATGTGCATTGTTAAGGAGTGTGAATCATCATCACCTTTTCTTCTAGTACAAAATGAACCAACCTGGAATGAAAATTCAATTTGCTGAAAACAAAAAAACAAAAAAAATCTCAGATAATATGTTTGATAAACATTCCAAACAATATGCCAAATTCTTGGGTTATGTAAAGGCTATAATTAATTAAATAATAGAAATTAATTAATTTGACTAGAGGTAGGCAATTATGCTGCCATCTTGTATTAAATTTAATAATTATAAATAGTTAATTTTTGATTTAGACATTTCTAAACTTTAATTTGGAATTGGTCATTAAACTTAATACAAAATGGCAGCATATCTGTCTACCTTTAGTCAAATTAAATAATTTCTAATACAGTAATATCCTGAACTTACGTGATAGGTGGGATCAAGCGATAACCATGTAAGTCGAATTCGTGTAAGTCGGGGTATAATTTCGCAATTTGTCTAAAATCCTAGTAAGATGTATGTAAGCTAATCAATGTTCTCATTAATCTTATCTCATCTTTTGATTCGTTCACGATTACAAGAAATCACCACGGAGTCTCTCAAGTCTCCGTAGATATAACAAACACAGAAATAAATAACACAAAATAAATTGTAGCTATGTGTCGATTCCGCGCGACACATCCGAACATGTAAGCTGAACAATAGTGTGGGGGGGGGCGTGAGTAATCAAGGGTTGCGTGGCGTTCAAAGAAAAGACGAATCAACGAGATTTGAAAATCGCGTAACTCTGGGTTCGCGTAAGTCGGGGTAGCATAAGTCGAGGTATTACTGTATTTAATTACAGTCTTTACATAGCCCAAGAATTTGGTATATCGTTTGGCATGTTTATTATATAACGGGCTACAGTTGTTTATGTTTAAAAGTAATATGTATGAACACAAGTTCGGAAAAATATGTAATCACAAGTATCACTAAGATGCTAGCGGAACAAGTGCTAAATACAAACTGATGGAACATGTGCACAATTCAGGATTTTCCCTCTCCTCGTCACTCGTTATGCAGGGGTGCACAACCTGCGGCCCGCGGGCCACATACGGCCCCTTATCAATGTTTATGCGGCCCGCGGACGGTACAGGCCAAATCCCTTCTTTCGAAGTTTCTAAGTGTAGAACTTTTCCCTTTCACAAAGTCATTAGCACCCAACTGTTTTATAACTTTCCCTGAAGTGAGAAATGGGGGGTTGTTCTATAAATAAGTCTATTTCTAGCTAACACTTTCTGGTTTAGATATCGAATATTCTAAGTCTAATACATAGTATTATAACGATTTTTTTNTTTATTTGACAATTCAAAATATTGTCTTGTCAAGTTCAAAATATTTAATCTATATTTTATCAATAAAATATAGATTAAAACATTTTGAACTTGACATATAGATTACTAATGCAAAGTAAATATGAAATAAGTTATGATATTTAAAACATATTAATATTTTTACAGAAAAAGGAGCTAAATTATGATTCAGATAAAATGGAATTCAGTGAATGTACTGAAGACACTGGGGATAAAATTTCACAGTCTTCAAATGCAACTGAAGATGTTGAACAAACATTAGAAATATATTCAGAGGAACTGTGGAATTTTGTAAGTCAATTCATTTGATAAACATTTTTATTCATTTTCAATAATAAATATTGTTACTAGCTGAGATATCCAGTTTTTTATGGAAAAACAATATATTAATTGTATTTGCATGCCCAATAGTTGCTCAAAATTACAATAAGCATGTGTTTGGCTAGTTTGAAAAATTTATGATTATTAGCAACCTTCATTCAAAATGATGTGATCGTGTAACAGAGAAATGAGAAAAATCTGCTGGATTTTTCATGTAGGGTTGCATTGCTGAACCTAGTCAGTGATAAAATCAAAGTCACATGCTCAGTGCTTGAAAAATGACGGTGACTAATAAATTTTCTGGATGAAAGGAACAAAAATTTCAAGACATTATTTTCTTTTTACTTTTGGTACTTGGCAAGATTTTTCAATAAAAAAACATCATTTCATTGGGATTTTTCTTAACATTGAGAAAGCAGTTTCAATTAAATCATAGTAAATGATGGTACATTTTGAAGTGCTTATAATACTAGAATTTTAGAATTTTTGACTCTGGAAATGGAATAAAAAAAATAAAAAATGAAATGCTTTTCTTTAACATTGTGTCTATAGTGAATTTTTTATTTCTAAAAATGTATTTGAATATCTTCCAACCTAGATAATAAAATAAAAATTGGTTAATGAAATAAAGACTATTATTAGATATTTTGAGATAGATGAGGACATATGCCTGCAAGAGGGAAGTACAAAAATTGGAGTTTGGAAATTTTTGGAATGATTTTGGATGAAAAATAATTCATTAAAGTTGGTGATTAAAAGGATCTCTATATTTAATACTTTCAGTAATTTTCTTCTTGATATTTTTAATGTTGGAGTTAAAAAATGTGATAATGAAAATTTTTTTGATTAAATTGTAATTCTTTAAAACTCAATAAAATATATTTCTAATGAAAAGTAATTGATGATAATTCAATTTCTCTTGTATAACCTAAGAACTTTATTATTTTCTACATCCTCTTGAAGGTGCAAGTTCTCGCCTATTTCAAAAATATCTACTAATTGTCTTTATTTCATTAACCAATTTTATTTATTTAATACCAAGGTTAGAAGGGATTCAAATGCATTTTTAAAAATAAAAAAATTCTCTGTAGAAATAATGTTAGAGAAAATAATTTTTTTATTTTTTAGTCAATTTCCATCAAGTAAAAAATTCTAATATTCTAGTACTAAATGCACCTTTAAATATTCTACCATTTACTATGATTTACTTGAGACTGCTCTCATAATGTTATGAAATGATGTTCTTTTACAATGAATGTGCCAATTCATTATTTTCTCCCAAAAATTTATTACATGGTATTATTGAGTCATTTCAGAGCAAAATTTGATTGTTCTAAGTTTCCCATCCATTCCAATCTTCCCATACAATATAATTACAGATATTGCATATTGTAAAATTAAATTAACATTAGTTTCACACATCAAGAGATTAATATGGAAAAGTGAGGAGTAAATCTTTAAAATTCAGTTCAGAAATACAACATATAAATTAAAAATTCAATGCAGTATAATCCAACTAAAAACAATTTTTCATTGAAAGAAATTCTAGAGATTATCTGACAGTCTGACAGATAAAAATGGGAATTTATGGGAGTTTAGTACTTCATGCTCTTGCTTAAATAATAGGCTGATCTATCAAATTTCATTTTGATCAGTTTTCAGTGATGTAGTCATTTAGGCAAAAATGGAAATTGTATTTGTATTCAAATTTCATGATTTACTTCACACTCATTGACCTCTGGGCAAAACTTCAAAAGATCTGACAAGTACCAGATGTTAACTGTTTACTGATGTAATTAATATTATAATTCTATCAAAGCCTATAAAATCAAATGGTTTTAGAAATTGAAAGTAGCCTATATTCTTTTCAGGATCATCCTGAACAAGTATACAATATTTATAGAATTAGTTCAGCCATTCATATGGTAGAAAAAGATAATGTATACCATTATCTGTTGGCGTTACATAAACATAATTTATTTTGTGAGTACTTTTGACAGCATATAACTGTCCTCTTCAGGAAGAATCATTCATAGAAAACAAAACATTTGAATTAAAGAAAAAGAACCTGAGCATCAACCAATGTTTTTTTCAAATTGCTTGTCCTTCATGCATGTAGAAAATTTAAATTTCACATATTCAATTTACAAAATTATACAATAATAATACAAAAATATAATGATGTATATAAGAAAAACATCAAGAATAAAATTGGATTAAAATAAAATACATAAATAATAATAACAGTCAATAAACAAATAATAAATGACACAATGCTGCTATGTGGTGTTTTATCAAGAACAATATGATTTACTACTGATTTTACAAATTTACAGAGATTAAACAGTGTTAACCACAACTCCAGTATATCTAGCATGGAAGAGTTGCGAGGTGATATTGTTGAGATGTAATGGGACTCCCATATGAATAATGTTTCTCTATCCCCACAGCTAACTTTGAGTCTTCTTGTATAAATTTTAAGGATGAAATGGTGTTGTCAATGGCCTGACAGACCCAGTTAGACATGACATTATAGTCATTAGTTGGATGATCATTATTCCCATGACAATGCTTATGCAGCATTAAATGTATTTTTATATTTTCAAACAGTTGTTTGAATTACAGTGGGGGATTGGTTAACAGTTTGGACTTCAAACACTTTTGTGAAAGATTTTTATGTTTGGATAACAAACACCTCACAGAACAAAGACAAGAAGAAGCAATGTAAAATAATGAATGCCAATTGGTCTTCCCTTGTCTTCAGGTGACAATTCGAAACCTTTTGGAGTATGGGAGACATTGACATTGATTCTCAACCCGATACCAATTGGATGGTATTCCTTCGAACTTTGAAACTCTCCCTTGTAATTCCAGTCTTTTGTTTACCTTTTGGAAAGAAAGAATTTTTTTTAGTCTTTGTGAGACTGTCGGGCACTTGTTAAGTTTTGCATTGGTTTTTATTTTTGAAAGGTGAGAGTTTAACTGTCCTCTTCAGATATTTGTTAATATTTTAACAGCAAATTTTGAATTCTGTTCAGGCCTTACATTTACATAATTTTTTTATGCACTAGTTGATTTCTGTTCTGTGAATTTTTGTAAGTGCTTTTCTGAACTTTTTACTTAAAATGATAATATTATGGAGCCTAAAAAGAGTGGAGTATCTATAACTGTGCTCACCATAGAAACTAAGCAAGAGTGGACAGATGTCTGATGTTGCTAGGAAGTATGGCTTGAACAGGTCAGAACAATTAATGTAGTTATTTGTTATCTGTAAATTGTATTGTAAATTATTTAAGAACCTGTTGCTATCATACGTAGTCTCTTATGGATAGAAGAATAGAAAATTGTGTAATATGAGATTTATAGTAATGCTTGGCATTAATAAATTTTCTAGTTACTGGTGTTAGAATTATCTTCAGTTTTAAGGATCTCATCAAGTTTAACCAAGATTGGTTCATTGAGAGGTTCAACAACCATTATCTTGTCCCAAAGAAAAATATGTCAAACGACTGCTGGATTAATTCAGGCTACTTCTCTGCTAAACATCAACCAAATGCCGAAATTCTAGCGGGTTAGTTTAAGGCTAATTACAAAATGAATTACGTAACCAATTTGGCTCTAGAGGTAAGCATTAGGTGCCATCTCGTATTAACATTAATAATTATAAAAATCTCTCCCCCTAATTATTTAAATTAATTAATTTATTTATAATTATTAATGTTAATACGAGATGGCGCCTAACGCTTACCTCTAGAGCCAAATTGGTTACGTAATTCATTTTGTAATTAGCCTTAAACTAACCCGCTAGAATTTCGGCATTTGGTTGATGTTTAGCAGAGAAGTAGCCTGAATTAATCCAGCAGTCGTTTGACATATTTTTCTTTGGGACAAGATAATGGTTGTTGAACCTCTCAATGAACCAATCTTGGTTAAACTTGATGAGATCCTTAAAACTGAAGATAATTCTAACACCAGTAACTAGAAAATTTATTAATGCCAAGCATTACTATAAATCTCATATTACACAATTTTCTATTCTTCTATCCATAAGAGACTACGTATGATAGCAACAGGTTCTTAAATAATTTACAATACAATTTACAGATAACAAATAACTACATTAATTGTTCTGACCTGTTCAAGCCATACTTCCTAGCAACATCAGACATCTGTCCACTCTTGCTTAGTTTCTATGGTGAGCACAGTTATAGATACTCCACTCTTTTTAGGCTCCATAATATTATCATTTTAAGTAAAAAGTTCAGAAAAGCACTTACAAAAATTCACAGAACAGAAATCAACTAGTGCATAAAAAAATTATGTAAATGTAAGGCCTGAACAGAATTCAAAATTTGCTGTTAAAATATTAACAAATATCTGAAGAGGACAGTTAAACTCTCACCTTTCAAAAATAAAAACCAATGCAAAACTTAACAAGTGCCCGACAGTCTCACAAAGACTAAAAAAAATTCTTTCTTTCCAAAAGGTAAACAAAAGACTGGAATTACAAGGGAGAGTTTCAAAGTTCGAAGGAATACCATCCAATTGGTATCGGGTTGAGAATCAATGTCAATGTCTCCCATACTCCAAAAGGTTTCGAATTGTCACCTGAAGACAAGGGAAGACCAATTGGCATTCATTATTTTACATTGCTTCTTCTTGTCTTTGTTCTGTGAGGTGTTTGTTATCCAAACATAAAAATCTTTCACAAAAGTGTTTGAAGTCCAAACTGTTAACCAATCCCCCACTGTAATTCAAACAACTGTTTGAAAATATAAAAATACATTTAATGCTGCATAAGCATTGTCATGGGAATAATGATCATCCAACTAATGACTATAATGTCATGTCTAACTGGGTCTGTCAGGCCATTGACAACACCATTTCATCCTTAAAATTTATACAAGAAGACTCAAAGTTAGCTGTGGGGATAGAGAAACATTATTCATATGGGAGTCCCATTACATCTCAACAATATCACCTCGCAACTCTTCCATGCTAGATATACTGGAGTTGTGGTTAACACTGTTTAATCTCTGTAAATTTGTAAAATCAGTAGTAAATCATATTGTTCTTGATAAAACACCACATAGCAGCATTGTGTCATTTATTATTTGTTTATTGACTGTTATTATTATTTATGTATTTTATTTTAATCCAATTTTATTCTTGATGTTTTTCTTATATACATCATTATATTTTTGTATTATTATTGTATAATTTTGTAAATTGAATATGTGAAATTTAAATTTTCTACATGCATGAAGGACAAGCAATTTGAAAAAAACATTGGTTGATGCTCAGGTTCTTTTTCTTTAATTCAAATGTTTTGTTTTCTATGAATGATTCTTCCTGAAGAGGACAGTTATATGCTGTCAAAAGTACTCACAAAATAAATTATGTTTATGTAACGCCAACAGATAATGGTATACATTATCTTTTTCTACCATATGAATGGCTGAACTAATTCTATAAATATTGTATACTTGTTCAGGATGATCCTGAAAAGAATATAGGCTACTTTCAATTTCTAAAACCATTTGATTTTATAGGCTTTGATAGAATTATAATATTAATTACATCAGTAAACAGTTAACATCTGGTACTTGTCAGATCTTTTGAAGTTTTGCCCAGAGGTCAATGAGTGTGAAGTAAATCATGAAATTTGAATACAAATACAATTTCCATTTTTGCCTAAATGACTACATCACTGAAAACTGATCAAAATGAAATTTGATAGATCAGCCTATTATTTAAGCAAGAGCATGAAGTACTAAACTCCCATAAATTCCCATTTTTATCTGTCAGACTGTCAGATAATCTCTAGAATTTCTTTCAATGAAAAATTGTTTTTAGTTGGATTATACTGCATTGAATTTTTAATTTATATGTTGTATTTCTGAACTGAATTTTAAAGATTTACTCCTCACTTTTCCATATTAATCTCTTGATGTGTGAAACTAATGTTAATTTAATTTTACAATATGCAATATCTGTAATTATATTGTATGGGAAGATTGGAATGGATGGGAAACTTAGAACAATCAAATTTTGCTCTGAAATGACTCAATAATACCATGTAATAAATTTTTGGGAGAAAATAATGAATTGGCACATTCATTGTAAAAGAACATCATTTCATAACATTATGAGAGCAGTCTCAAGTAAATCATAGTAAATGGTAGAATATTTAAAGGTGCATTTAGTACTAGAATATTAGAATTTTTTACTTGATGGAAATTGACTAAAAAATAAAAAAATTATTTTCTCTAACATTATTTCTACAGAGAATTTTTTTATTTTTAAAAATGCATTTGAATCCCTTCTAACCTTGGTATTAAATAAATAAAATTGGTTAATGAAATAAAGACAATTAGTAGATATTTTTGAAATAGGCGAGAACTTGCACCTTCAAGAGGATGTAGAAAATAATAAAGTTCTTAGGTTATACAAGAGAAATTGAATTATCATCAATTACTTTTCATTAGAAATATATTTTATTGAGTTTTAAAGAATTACAATTTAATCAAAAAAATTTTCATTATCACATTTTTTAACTCCAACATTAAAAATATCAAGAAGAAAATTACTGAAAGTATTAAATATAGAGATCCTTTTAATCACCAACTTTAATGAATTATTTTTCATCCAAAATCATTCCAAAAATTTCCAAACTCCAATTTTTGTACTTCCCTCTTGCAGGCATATGTCCTCATCTATCTCAAAATATCTAATAATAGTCTTTATTTCATTAACCAATTTTTATTTTATTATCTAGGTTGGAAGATATTCAAATACATTTTTAGAAATAAAAAATTCACTATAGACACAATGTTAAAGAAAAGCATTTCATTTTTTATTTTTTTTATTCCATTTCCAGAGTCAAAAATTCTAAAATTCTAGTATTATAAGCACTTCAAAATGTACCATCATTTACTATGATTTAATTGAAACTGCTTTCTCAATGTTAAGAAAAATCCCAATGAAATGATGTTTTTTTATTGAAAAATCTTGCCAAGTACCAAAAGTAAAAAGAAAATAATGTCTTGAAATTTTTGTTCCTTTCATCCAGAAAATTTATTAGTCACCGTCATTTTTCAAGCACTGAGCATGTGACTTTGATTTTATCACTGACTAGGTTCAGCAATGCAACCCTACATGAAAAATCCAGCAGATTTTTCTCATTTCTCTGTTACACGATCACATCATTTTGAATGAAGGTTGCTAATAATCATAAATTTTTCAAACTAGCCAAACACATGCTTATTGTAATTTTGAGCAACTATTGGGCATGCAAATACAATTAATATATTGTTTTTCCATAAAAAACTGGATATCTCAGCTAGTAACAATATTTATTATTGAAAATGAATAAAAATGTTTATCAAATGAATTGACTTACAAAATTCCACAGTTCCTCTGAATATATTTCTAATGTTTGTTCAACATCTTCAGTTGCATTTGAAGACTGTGAAATTTTATCCCCAGTGTCTTCAGTACATTCACTGAATTCCATTTTATCTGAATCATAATTTAGCTCCTTTTTCTGTAAAAATATTAATATGTTTTAAATATCATAACTTATTTCATATTTACTTTGCATTAGTAATCTATATGTCAAGTTCAAAATGTTTTAATCTATATTTTATTGATAAAATATAGATTAAATATTTTGAACTTGACAAGACAATATTTTGAATTGTCAAATAAATTTAACATAACATAACAGATACCAAATGATCTGCCAGATTATTTGGCTATATCAGGCAGGCTGTTTGGCAATGTGAATATCAGGTAGTGGTTCACTATGTATGTACAATATAAAAGGATTTGTTACTTTGAATTTATATAACACATTACATTTTGGAACAAACCACATAAAGCACATTCTAGAAGACACTTATGACAGAGTTCAATAGAGATTCAAATTAACAGTTTGATAATGCCAGAAAAACTTAAACTAAACTAAGAGAATAATAGTGGAGCATTTAACTATTCAGAAGTAATTGTAGATTCATAATTGTTGAGTCAGGCAACTCTCAAAATAAATTTTCTATTGGCTATTAATATGCCTCAAAACCAAACTTGAAACTCAATTGTTTTATCATTTCAATTTTATTGACTTTAATATTACTGGAGTCAATAAAATTGAAATGATAAAAGTCACCATAAAGTCATTTGAGGTTGTTATGAGAAGTTTGGTTTTGAGGCATATTAATAGCCAACAGAAAATTTAACATAGTTATCCAAACAAGAAACATTTTATATCTCAAAATAAAATTTTCTTTAGAGTGAAGGAGAAACTTCAGAAAGTCAGTTAATAAAAGTTGGGAGCACCTGAGTACTTACTAGTTGAAGTTTGAAGTAGATTTAAGATTTAGGACCAGAATAAGAAAAAGTCACAAGTTATAACTTAATAGTGGGGTGGCTAGTCAAGTGGATATCTCAAACGCAATACGTAAATTATGTAAAGTAAATTTCCAAAATTCAATATATATATTGTATTGTATGGTTTCCTTCTAGAAATAGTATTGTTTGTTTAAAGTGTTTAAAGTAGTATATACAGTAGACCCCCTATAAAATGAGTTCCTATAATTACGATTCCTATAAAACTGCAAAAAAATTGCAACGGTATCCGTAAAAAACGGTAAAAAAAAACTCCTATAATTATGTAAAACGTCATCGGGCAGCCGAACTATTTTCCACTGTCAAGCGCCACGCTACGGAGAGATTACTGTCGTCTGTACAGTATTATATATAAATTAGGTACTGTACATATAATTATATATTGNTGTTTTTTTTTTGTTTTCTGCAAATCGAATTTGCATTTCAGGTTGGTTCATTCCATGCTAGAAGAAAAGATGAAGATGATTCATGGTTCTTAACAATGTATATTGTGTAATTTTCTTTGAATAAACATTATACATAAAATATTTGAGTATTTTTTCGGTGTGGAATGCATTATTGTATTTTACATTAATTTCTATGAGAAAAATAGTTTCACTTAATTAATGAGTGTTTAACATTACGAGTAAGATTCTGGAACGAATTATGCTCGTTAAGTGAGGTTCCACTGTATTTCATAAATAAAAAAAAACAAACAAAAAATAAATTTCTGAATACTTATAAATTTAAAATATATAAATGTCTCACCAACACTTAATGCCCGAGATGAATTGTTCACTAAAGACATATTTGAATAAGGAGTGTTATAAAAAGAATCCTCAAATGAAGAATTTGAAACAACAAGACTTCTTTCAGCTCTCTAATAAAAATAATAAATAAATATTAATACTTAATTTATTAACTAACTCTATCAGTATAACATTAAAATCAACTGAAAAGTAAAAAATACTTTAATAGATGTATTAAACATATTCTACTAAATTCATTATTAAAAATTAAAATAAATTTCAAAAATCTTTAAAATCCAGCAAAATAATTTTTTGTAACAAATATTTCAACTTTTTAAAGATGTCTTCAGATTTCTATAGGAAAAATAAATCAGAATACATAAAACTGAATTCAAGTTTTAACTTAAAACATCTGTTGTATGTTAAAAAGAATAAGAGCAATTAATCTTAAGTTTTTTTATATTTACCAAAGTAGGGTATTTAATTACTAAAATTATATTAAAAATATGTAATATTTGATATAACTTTGATAAAATTCTAAGTTGCCTCTTGTACTTTCCCAACTCTTCAACTNATGTAAATTAGGTACCGTAAGTCTAATACAGTACTGTAATTTTATACATTTCTTGTGAAAGAAACATTTCTTATTCAATGGTGATTAAAATTATTTATATTAATGATGTCTCCAAAGTTCAACGAAGTTTTTGCAGAAAAATAAGTTATTAGAAATCGGCCGCTGTTTGCTGAGCTGTTCCACGACGAAAACAAGCTTGAGCAATGGTGATGTCGAATGGTGCACACTCAGTAAGTAATCCTACAATTTTTTGTTTATAGCGTAGTTTATATGGATTATTTCCAAAAAAAATATATGTATTTTGGATATGTTGAGTCGGATTAGTCTAGAATCGATTAATTTTATGGAAGAAAACCTTTCAATCAGCCGTAGTCCTTAAACTTCACACGTGTTGAGCTGTGATTGGAAGGACTCGTAAGAAATCGGATTCCTAAAGAATGGAGTGCATCTATGATCTTATAAGGGGGTTGACTGTATATTCAAAAAAATTTATTCGCAAATTATATACAATGTTTATTATTTTTATAAAATTGGTTATATAAATTAATAGCCAATAGAAAAAGATCTTTGATATTCTTATGAACCATAAAATGAAAGTTAAGTAGAAAAACATAAATTTAACTTTAGCATAAATTAAAGTATCTAAACTATTATTATAAAGATTAGAATATACAAACAATTCTAATCATTAATAAACTTTATAATCCAATATAATAGTATATTATTAATAAACAAGCTATGAAAATATTTTGTTATTGTTACTACAATGAAGTAACACAATTTTTCATTCGGCATTTACATTATGATTTTTTATATAACAGTGATAAATGTAAGTTATGTGAACTTATCATTACTTGAATGACAGATACCTTCAAATTCTAAGATACACTTTAGTTTCTATACGCTCACAGATAATTTTTTAATACTATGTATTTAAAAAAATCCATGACAAACTTATGTCAATAAAAACACTATTTATTGCTCAGTAAGATATATATCACTGTCTTTTATGATAATAGATGTTAAACTCTTCTGAATCCAATACATTTTCCCATATACCAGGGTTCGGCAACACGGCACCCTTGGTAAGATTTTTATGCACCCTCATTATATTACACACATTACCTCACTTTGTTAACACATTTTCCAAATTTAAAACTTATACAGAAATAAACATAAACTTATACAGAAATAAACATCTACCAAAACCCAATGCTTAGCAAATAGACATCCACGATTGCTGTAAATAAATCGGGATATAATTTGGAAATATTAATTATGAATTACAAATAAATTTGGCACTAGAGGGAGGCGTTAGGTGCCATCTCGTATTAAATTTAATAATTATGATATTTAACTAATTAATTTAGAATAAACTGGAAGAAAATAATCAGCCTGAAGCGGGACTCTAACCCACAACTTCTGTGGANGCTGTTCCACGACGAAAACAAGCTTGAGCAATGGTGATGTCGAATGGTGCACACTCAGTAAGTAATCCTACAATTTTTTGTTTATAGCGTAGTTTATATGGATTATTTCCAAAAAAAATATATGTATTTTGGATATGTTGAGTCGGATTAGTCTAGAATCGATTAATTTTATGGAAGAAAACCTTTCAATCAGCCGTAGTCCTTAAACTTCACACGTGTTGAGCTGTGATTGGAAGGACTCGTAAGAAATCGGATTCCTAAAGAATGGAGTGCATCTATGATCTTATAAGGGGGTTGACTGTATATTCAAAAAAATTTATTCGCAAATTATATACAATGTTTATTATTTTTATAAAATTGGTTATATAAATTAATAGCCAATAGAAAAAGATCTTTGATATTCTTATGAACCATAAAATGAAAGTTAAGTAGAAAAACATAAATTTAACTTTAGCATAAATTAAAGTATCTAAACTATTATTATAAAGATTAGAATATACAAACAATTCTAATCATTAATAAACTTTATAATCCAATATAATAGTATATTATTAATAAACAAGCTATGAAAATATTTTGTTATTGTTACTACAATGAAGTAACACAATTTTTCATTCGGCATTTACATTATGATTTTTTATATAACAGTGATAAATGTAAGTTATGTGAACTTATCATTACTTGAATGACAGATACCTTCAAATTCTAAGATACACTTTAGTTTCTATACGCTCACAGATAATTTTTTAATACTATGTATTTAAAAAAATCCATGACAAACTTATGTCAATAAAAACACTATTTATTGCTCAGTAAGATATATATCACTGTCTTTTATGATAATAGATGTTAAACTCTTCTGAATCCAATACATTTTCCCATATACCAGGGTTCGGCAACACGGCACCCTTGGTAAGATTTTTATGCACCCTCATTATATTACACACATTACCTCACTTTGTTAACACATTTTCCAAATTTAAAACTTATACAGAAATAAACATAAACTTATACAGAAATAAACATCTACCAAAACCCAATGCTTAGCAAATAGACATCCACGATTGCTGTAAATAAATCGGGATATAATTTGGAAATATTAATTATGAATTACAAATAAATTTGGCACTAGAGGGAGGCGTTAGGTGCCATCTTGTATTAAATTTAATAATTATGATATTTAACTAATTAATTTAGAATAAACTGGAAGAAAATAATCAGCCTGAAGCGGGACTCTAACCCACAACTTCTGTGGACACGTTGCCAGTTACGCTACCTGGACCTTTGGTCCAATCTCCTCTTCCAGTATATATAAGCCTAATGTATAACCATTGACGGTTAATACGGTGCTAACATTTGTAATTCATAATTAATATTTCCAAAGCCCAATTATTTATGGCAATCGTGGGTCTATTTGTAAAACATATTATTGAAAGTTTGGTTAACAAAACATTTAATGCTACATCATATATAAAAATAATGGAAAATTCTTTCAGAAAAATTTTCTTCCTGATTTGCAGATTTTACAAAATTAGAATCTGTTGTAATATTTTTGTTAATCCATTTAACATGTCTTCTGATAATGAATCTGCTGCGACTGGCAAATATTTTGAGCTTAATAATACAAATGAAATAGAATTAGAAATAATAAATCTGCAAAACAATATTGTTTTAAAAGCACATCATAAATGATAACATTAACATGTTTTGGAATTTATTTCCATAAAGATAAATATCCTATTTTAAGAAAATGTGCATTAATAATTTGTTCATATTTTGCAACTGTGTGTAATTGCAAACGATATGATTGCAAATATGATGTATCTAAAAACAAAATATCGATCAAAGCTCACAGATTCTAATTTACATAACTAAAATATAATTCTAATTATACTCCCAATTATAACAAATTGGCAGAAGATCTGCAATGTCAGGAGTCATACTGACTAAGATGTTTGTATTTGTCATTGTTTGTTTTGCATTTATAGTTTAAGTATATGTAATTATATTTCTTGAAATAAAACCTTTAATATTTTGAAGTTCTTTTTCATGCACCCCCAATAACTTTTGAATATACTGTGCCCTTATTGACAAAAAAGTTGCTGACCCCTGCCATACACAATCATCCTTACTTATGTTACTAATTCTATTGCTTCATTTTAATGTTATATAAGACCTAATATTTGTAATAGCAAATATTTAAGAGATTAACTTAGCTCAATCTCATTAGTCTATTATAACCTCATCATAAGTACTTGGATAAAATCCCAGAAAAAGCCATGCAGTACTCTTCAAGAAATGTTGCATCTTACATTCAAGTAAATCTTCTAAAAAAGTGCATCTTACATTCAAGTAAATATGGTATTTTACTAATAATAATATTATAATAATGAAAGCATTTAAATAAAAATAATGTTGAAAGCTATACGTAGGAAGTCAAAATTTTCTGGAATTGTGGTATAGCATTGTAATGGTAGAGCACAGGGAAATGCTTACCAAATCACCTTCAAAGGAGAATCCTTCAACATACACATACTTGATCCATCAACCCTGCCATTCTTGAAAGCACTATTGAAAGACTTCTTTTGTAATATTCAGGAGTTCAGACATCATATTCAATCTGATGTCCTCCATGGTTGCAAAACATGTCTCCATGAGACCCACATCTCAATGTAGTCAAAAGTCACTTGGAGTAAGACAACCAGTGGTGGTTGGATAAGAACAGAAAGTCTTTTGTCAGCAAGGAATTGCTGCACAAGCAAGGAGTGACTTGGTGCATTGTCATGATGCAGAACCATCCTTCCCACCACCTGTCATGCCATTTCCACCAAATTGCATTTCACAATCTATGCAAAACTTGAATATAGAAATAACCAGTAACATTCTGTGCAGGTGGTAAGAACTCATGGTGCACACTGTCCATGTCAAAGAATGCAATGAGCATCACTTTTTCCTTGGATTTAACAAGACATGATTTCTTTGATTTGGGAGATGATGCTGTGTGCCATTCTGATGATTGCATCTTCATCTCTAGATTGTAAGCAAAACACCCATGTCTCATCAGCAACAATCTTCATGCAAACATTGGGTCTTGTTTATCTTTTTCAAACAGATCACCAGCAATTGGCATGCAACATTCTATCTGATTTGTTGTTAGTTACTTTGAAACAAACTTTGCACTAGTACATCTCAACTTCAAAACATCAAACAGAATTATATGAACGGATCTGTGAGAGATACCAACTACTTGTTCTAACTCCATAATGATCATTCATGGATTAGAATGAATCAGTTGTACTTTGGCAATCATTTCTTAGGTTCTGGATGTGGACAACCTCTCACTGTGCTTGTTATCCTCCAACATCTCCTATCCTTTCTTAAACCATGAAAAACTAGACCTAAATTACAATTTCTTTAATGCAGTATTATCATAAACTTGCTGCAGGGCCAATAGCATCTATAAAGCAGATTTTCCCAATTTGCCCATGAACTTGTTGTTCAAATATTGTTCAAATTGCAACATGGCACTGAAAGACAAACATTCATCTGAAAATGAAAAGGAAACTACAGTAGAACCTCGATTATCCAGATTTTCGATTATCCGGATTGTTCAAAATAAACAAAAATTTTACGAATTTGCTGATTTGCATTTGGCGAATCATGATACTGTTTATGTACATGATGGAATGCATAACTTTTTTTGTTTCAACAACGTCTCACCCGGCAGAGTGGTTGTAAACTCTTAAATATATTTTGCGTCGTAATAAAAATATAATTTGACGTACGTATTTATAAATAATTTATATTCAAATTATGACCAAGGGCGGCATATGGGCAACGTGGGCCACCGCCTATGCCTCGTGGTCCGAACGGCCTCGCACCTCGAAAGTTTATGCATTATTTAAAAGCCGCAAATGCGACGAAAAAATTTTACTCGCCATAAAATAATAAATAGTTTGTCAAATTTTTATTCATAAAAGTGCAGTTTCAACTGCTTTTTATTTTATAAAATCAGTCTTCTTGCGCCATCAGAGAACCTTTTAAACAATAGGTAGTCTGTTAGCGCTAGTCAGTAGTAGTCCAAATTCAATACAAACATTTGTTTCTTCAAAATTTGATCACAATTTAAATACAGTATTTATTTTTAATATTACTGATATGTCATCGAAAAGAAAATGTGTTGTATTATCATTAAAAGACAAATTAAAGTATTTGTTTCGATTATCCGAATTTTTCCTTATCCGGACTACCTTCATCCCCAATTAGTCCGGATAATTGAGGTTCTATTGTACCATTAAAACTAACACCAAAATATGTCTGGACCAATTGTAGCTGTGAGTAGACATTGTAATCTTCCTTCTATAACAATGCACACACAATCTTATGTCTCCTTTGCAGTCTAGCAAACAATTCCAGAAACTTTTTGACTGCCCATGTATACTAATTATTAATTATAGTTTATTTATAAATTTATCAATATCAGTACCAAACTTATATTGACAACAACAAAAAGTTTTAATAGTTTATAATTTTATTTTAAAGTTTCTTTTACATATATTTTGAAATCTTACTATTGTAGGTTCTTCCTCAGAAACCAAGGTGAAACTAAGTGAATTATTTTTATTGTTATTAACTGACAACTCAGGTTCAGTAGCATTAGCCATAGCTTCAGGAGAAACATCCATCTGTAAATTAAAATTTGCATAATTAACTTCAACATATACTGTATTTATTAAAAAATATTTTACATAAAAATATTCTTTGTATGTATTCTACACACAATCATGCTTAATTTGAAATAGAGAATGAAAGAATAACTAAAGATTTTTGTTCTAAAGTTAGTTAGTGGATTTTGTAACTACAACTAAGGCACAAGTCTATTTATTATTAACAAAAATTATAATTTTACATCAGATTTGTACTGTTACCATCTTAAATTAAATCAGGTTTCTATTCACATAATATTGGATTGTATATGTTAAACTAAATGCAGCAGCATCAATTTTAAGTCACTCCAGAAATCAGAAAAGCATCTTGGAAAATATATAACTTATTTAGACTACATTTAGAACATAAATTACTGAGATCTTATTAATTTCAGTTATTTATTACAGACTTTAAATGATATGATTTCTGTGATAAATTACTAATTAAATTAACAAGAAATATTTGAACAACTAATAGAAAAGAAATTCTAAATAGAAATTCTAAAGAAGTAAAATTTCTAGTTCATATATAGTAGTACTTCTCACTATTCTAAAATGATGACTATGTAAATTCTTTTTATTATAATCATTGATAACTTAAAATAATTAATTTTCAAAATATCAATTTCCTATACTCACTATTAGAGAGTAAATGAATATATAATCAATAAAATAAATTATTTTCACAACTTACCTTTTCCAATTTCGCTCCATTATTATATCTGTAATTTTGATTTTCAGCATTATTTAAATTTGCTTCCATTTCTACATTATTAGGGTATCTGAAAGGAACTGAAAATAAAAGCATTTAATATCTTTTTCTCAAAAACAATAGTTAAAAAACAAAAAAAAACTAACTAAATTTAATTTCAAAGTCAATCAGCTATTTCCAATCAATCTCAAGAAAAATAATGCTGCATCAATCACTAGAATGCTCTAAATTCTAGAAACACTCTAGAATGTTAGAAAATATGTACAGTACAACATGACTAAATCAAATACGTATGAGTCAAAATCATATTTTTGCCTATAAAAAAACAAATTATATAATTTTTCTTTTGTATTATATTATAATTGCTTTTTTGTGCAATTGATCATGGTTGTCTATAAGAGAGAGCAGATATATTCATCAAGGATTTGTGATTGTAGAAGACACGTGGTAAGTGCCCAGAATGGAGAAGTGCTGAAGAAACAATGAAAATTACTAATGCAAATAAAGATTGAATTTGGAACAATAGCACAGACACTACTTTAGCACCAATAGTGATACAAAGGCACTATTTTAAAATAGGTAAATCAATAGTAAATTGTTTAACACAGGGAGGAAAGTTAAATATGTCTGCCTATTTACTGCAAACCAAAAAAATCTCATATGTCTAAGACATGTGCAATTTCTTGATTGTTGTGTTCATTTGGGAAATGTTAGGTAAACATACAGAAAACAAGAAATCTCACGAGGTTATTCATAACTTTTATAGGCAAGTGATGTTATATTACTGCTAATTTTGCAAAATGTTGGTAATTATCTTAAATCTAATATCTTATTTCAATCTTTTAGATTACTTAATAATTTATTAGGCTATTTGCTAATTTATTACGTAAAATAAAACATTTCTCTGAACTAGGGGATGGTACTAATAAAAATACTACAGTAGAACATCGCTTAACGAGCAAAATAAATTGTAAAAATTTGACTCGCTTAATGAGCGATGTTTTCATAATAAGTGACAAGGAGAGGGGAAATCTGGATTGTGCGTATGCTCCATTAGTCTGTTTAGCACTTGTTCCGCTAGCATCTTAGTGTTGCTCGTGATCATATATTTTTCAAAACTTGTGTTCACACATATTACATACAAACATCGACAATCATAGCCCGTTATATAATAAACATGCCATCTCGTACTAAATTTAATGACCAAATTAAATTTTATAAATGTCTAAATCAAAAATTAATTATTTATAATTATTAAATTAATACGAGATGGCAGCATAACTGCCTACCTCTAGTCTAATTAATTAATTTCAAATATTTAATTATAGCCTTTACATAGCCCAAGAATTTGGCATATTGTTTTGGCATCTTCATCAGACATATTATCTGTTTTTTTTTTTTTTTTTTTTTTTTTTTTTTTTTTTTTTTTTTTTTTTTTTTTTTTTTTTTTTTTTTTTTTTTTTTTTTTTTTTTTTTTTTTTTTTTTTTTTTTTTTTTTTTTTTTTTTTTTTTTTTTTTTTTTTTTTTTTTTTTTTTTTTTTTTTTTTTTTTTTTTTTTTTTTTTTTTTTTTTTTTTTTTTTTTTTTTTTTTTTTTTTTTTTTTTTTTTTTTTTTTTTTTTTTTTTTTTTTTTTTTTTTTTTTTTTTTTTTTTTTTTTTTTTTTTTTTTTTTTTTTTTTTTTTTTTTTTTTTTTTTTTTTTTTTTTTTTTTTTTTTTTTTTTTTTTTTTTTTTTTTTTTTTTTTTTTTTTTTTTTTTTTTTTTTTTTTTTTTTTTTTTTTTTTTTTTTTTTTTTTTTTTTTTTTTTTTTTTTTTTTTTTTTTTTTTTTTTTTTTTTTTTTTTTTTTTTTTTTTTTTTTTTTTTTTTTTTTTTTTTTTTTTTTTTTTTTTTTTTTTTTTTTTTTTTTTTTTTTTTTTTTTTTTTTTTTTTTTTTTTTTTTTTTTTTTTTTTTTTTTTTTTTTTTTTTTTTTTTTTTTTTTTTTTTTTTTTTTTTTTTTTTTTTTTTTTTTTTTTTTTTTTTTTTTTTTTTTTTTTTTTTTTTTTTTTTTTTTTTTTTTTTTTTTTTTTTTTTTTTTTTTTTTTTTTTTTTTTTTTTTTTTTTTTTTTTTTTTTTTTTTTTTTTTTTTTTTTTTTTTTTTTTTTTTTTTTTTTTTTTTTTTTTTTTTTTTTTTTTTTTTTTTTTTTTTTTTTTTTTTTTTTTTTTTTTTTTTTTTTTTTTTTTTTTTTTTTTTTTTTTTTTTTTTTTTTTTTTTTTTTTTTTTTTTTTTTTTTTTTTTTTTTTTTTTTTTTTTTTTTTTTTTTTTTTTTTTTTTTTTTTTTTTTTTTTTTTTTTTTTTTTTTTTTTTTTTTTTTTTTTTTTTTTTTTTTTTTTTTTTTTTTTTTTTTTTTTTTTTTTTTTTTTTTTTTTTTTTTTTTTTTTTTTTTTTTTTTTTTTTTTTTTTTTTTTTTTTTTTTTTTTTTTTTTTTTTTTTTTTTTTTTTTTTTTTTTTTTTTTTTTTTTTTTTTTTTTTTTTTTTTTTTTTTTTTTTTTTTTTTTTTTTTTTTTTTTTTTTTTTTTTTTTTTTTTTTTTTTTTTTTTTTTTTTTTTTTTTTTTTTTTTTTTTTTTTTTTTTTTTTTTTTTTTTTTTTTTTTTTTTTTTTTTTTTTTTTTTTTTTTTTTTTTTTTTTTTTTTTTTTTTTTTTTTTTTTTTTTTTTTTTTTTTTTTTTTTTTTTTTTTTTTTTTTTTTTTTTTTTTTTTTTTTTTTTTTTTTTTTTTTTTTTTTTTTTTTTTTTTTTTTTTTTTTTTTTTTTTTTTTTTTTTTTTTTTTTTTTTTTTTTTTTTTTTTTTTTTTTTTTTTTTTTTTTTTTTTTTTTTTTTTTTTTTTTTTTTTTTTTTTTTTTTTTTTTTTTTTTTTTTTTTTTTTTTTTTTTTTTTTTTTTTTTTTTTTTTTTTTTTTTTTTTTTTTTTTTTTTTTTTTTTTTTTTTTTTTTTTTTTTTTTTTTTTTTTTTTTTTTTTTTTTTTTTTTTTTTTTTTTTTTTTTTTTTTTTTTTTTTTTTTTTTTTTTTTTTTTTTTTTTTTTTTTTTTTTTTTTTTTTTTTTTTTTTTTTTTTTTTTTTTTTTTTTTTTTTTTTTTTTTTTTTTTTTTTTTTTTTTTTTTTTTTTTTTTTTTTTTTTTTTTTTTTTTTTTTTTTTTTTTTTTTTTTTTTTTTTTTTTTTTTTTTTTTTTTTTTTTTTTTTTTTTTTTTTTTTTTTTTTTTTTTTTTTTTTTTTTTTTTTTTTTTTTTTTTTTTTTTTTTTTTTTTTTTTTTTTTTTTTTTTTTTTTTTTTTTTTTTTTTTTTTTTTTTTTTTTTTTTTTTTTTTTTTTTTTTTTTTTTTTTTTTTTTTTTTTTTTTTTTTTTTTTTTTTTTTTTTTTTTTTTTTTTTTTTTTTTTTTTTTTTTTTTTTTTTTTTTTTTTTTTTTTTTTTTTTTTTTTTTTTTTTTTTTTTTTTTTTTTTTTTTTTTTTTTTTTTTTTTTTTTTTTTTTTTTTTTTTTTTTTTTTTTTTTTTTTTTTTTTTTTTTTTTTTTTTTTTTTTTTTTTTTTTTTTTTTTTTTTTTTTTTTTTTTTTTTTTTTTTTTTTTTTTTTTTTTTTTTTTTTTTTTTTTTTTTTTTTTTTTTTTTTTTTTTTTTTTTTTTTTTTTTTTTTTTTTTTTTTTTTTTTTTTTTTTTTTTTTTTTTTTTTTTTTTTTTTTTTTTTTTTTTTTTTTTTTTTTTTTTTTTTTTTTTTTTTTTTTTTTTTTTTTTTTTTTTTTTTTTTTTTTTTTTTTTTTTTTTTTTTTTTTTTTTTTTTTTTTTTTTTTTTTTTTTTTTTTTTTTTTTTTTTTTTTTTTTTTTTTTTTTTTTTTTTTTTTTTTTTTTTTTTTTTTTTTTTTTTTTTTTTTTTTTTTTTTTTTTTTTTTTTTTTTTTTTTTTTTTTTTTTTTTTTTTTTTTTTTTTTTTTTTTTTTTTTTTTTTTTTTTTTTTTTTTTTTTTTTTTTTTTTTTTTTTTTTTTTTTTTTTTTTTTTTTTTTTTTTTTTTTTTTTTTTTTTTTTTTTTTTTTTTTTTTTTTTTTTTTTTTTTTTTTTTTTTTTTTTTTTTTTTTTTTTTTTTTTTTTTTTTTTTTTTTTTTTTTTTTTTTTTTTTTTTTTTTTTTTTTTTTTTTTTTTTTTTTTTTTTTTTTTTTTTTTTTTTTTTTTTTTTTTTTTTTTTTTTTTTTTTTTTTTTTTTTTTTTTTTTTTTTTTTTTTTTTTTTTTTTTTTTTTTTTTTTTTTTTTTTTTTTTTTTTTTTTTTTTTTTTTTTTTTTTTTTTTTTTTTTTTTTTTTTTTTTTTTTTTTTTTTTTTTTTTTTTTTTTTTTTTTTTTTTTTTTTTTTTTTTTTTTTTTTTTTTTTTTTTTTTTTTTTTTTTTTTTTTTTTTTTTTTTTTTTTTTTTTTTTTTTTTTTTTTTTTTTTTTTTTTTTTTTTTTTTTTTTTTTTTTTTTTTTTTTTTTTTTTTTTTTTTTTTTTTTTTTTTTTTTTTTTTTTTTTTTTTTTTTTTTTTTTTTTTTTTTTTTTTTTTTTTTTTTTTTTTTTTTTTTTTTTTTTTTTTTTTTTTTTTTTTTTTTTTTTTTTTTTTTTTTTTTTTTTTTTTTTTTTTTTTTTTTTTTTTTTTTTTTTTTTTTTTTTTTTTTTTTTTTTTTTTTTTTTTTTTTTTTTTTTTTTTTTTTTTTTTTTTTTTTTTTTTTTTTTTTTTTTTTTTTTTTTTTTTTTTTTTTTTTTTTTTTTTTTTTTTTTTTTTTTTTTTTTTTTTTTTTTTTTTTTTTTTTTTTTTTTTTTTTTTTTTTTTTTTTTTTTTTTTTTTTTTTTTTTTTTTTTTTTTTTTTTTTTTTTTTTTTTTTTTTTTTTTTTTTTTTTTTTTTTTTTTTTTTTTTTTTTTTTTTTTTTTTTTTTTTTTTTTTTTTTTTTTTTTTTTTTTTTTTTTTTTTTTTTTTTTTTTTTTTTTTTTTTTTTTTTTTTTTTTTTTTTTTTTTTTTTTTTTTTTTTTTTTTTTTTTTTTTTTTTTTTTTTTTTTTTTTTTTTTTTTTTTTTTTTTTTTTTTTTT